TCTGAATTGTTATTAATTTCAAACAAGTTTTGCCTTCAAAAGTTCGTTTTTTTCCCATCACTTTAAATCATTGTTGGAAAAGGAATTAACAAAATTTTCTTTTTGTTTTATGGCATCATTTCCTAATAGTTTTTGGACGGGAAAGATCAAAAAAAAGAAAAAGGAAAAAAGAAAAAATAAATAAATTAGAGAATTTTAGACTGAAATAAATCAACAATTTTCTTTGAGTTACATCGAAAAATGGAAAATGAAGAGGAAGAAGAAGGAAAAATTTATTAGCACATCTTTAGAATATTTTAATTTTAATTTAAATACAGAGACAGGAAAATAAGACAAAGAAAAGAAAAAGCTTAATCGTTAAAAAATAAAAAAAAAAAAGACATTAATATAATCGTATAAAAATATAATTTAGTTTTCAAAAATTTTATTTTATTTTTCAATTTATAAAATTAACTTTATCATCACTAACTAGGCTCAATTGTAATCAATGTTATCATAACGAAGCAAGGCAATGATATTTTGAAAAGTAAGATAAAATGAAAAGAAGTGCTTTAACATATATTAATTATAACGATAAAATCACTGTGATCATCGTTATCACCATTATCATTATCATTATCACTACCATTATCATCAAAGGTATGTCAAAAATTTTGTAAATCATACGAAATGATAGACCACCCTTATTGCTATGTATCATAAATCTTTCGCCATTTCTCTCCTCTTTTCTTTCATCTTTCATTCTTTTTCGGTATTTTGAATTTTTAGGATAGATTAAATAGAAAAAAAAATATTAATCGTTTTCATTGCTCTATCTCTTCCTTTCCTTATAATACTTTCAAAAAAAAAAGAAAAAAAGGTGCCGACATGAAATTTCAAAATTTAATCGATGTGATACGAAATTTAAAAACTAGTCCCAAAATAAGAATTAGACTACATCTGATATTTTAACATTTTTTTTCAATCTTTTTATAAAATTTTATTCTTTCTCTTTCAAATTTTCGACTATAGGAACTGCTTTTCATTTTTTTTTTTGAAGGTTATTTACCAATTATTTTAAAGTTTTATACTCAATAAACTAGCATAAGTTAAATACAACTAAAAAGAAGGAAAAAAAAATATAATGAAATGTTTTGAAATGCTTTTCATATAAAATAAAAAATAATATTTCACTAACATTATTATTTATTATTATTATTATTATTATTCAAGTTCACTGATAAGTGTATGTATGAATTTTACTTGTTTCCCACATCATTTTCATCAAATTAGGCATGAAAATTTAAAAATTTGAAATTGATGCATTAAACAATAGCGCGTAACTTTAAAAAAGTATTTCATTTCTTTTTGATATGATAATAAAATAAATAAAATAATTATGATCGGATTAAATTTAAATTTAACATTCAATTTAATTTCATTCACCTTTTCTTCTTTCTTTTTTTGTTGTCGAAATTGTATGCAGCAATTCAAAAAAAAAAAAACGAAAAAAAAAACGAAAAAAACGAAAAAAAAAGTCTACCAATCTTTTCCAATAATTAATTGAAAATTTTCAAAATCGAAGCAAAAAAAGCGTTTTTTTTTTTCAGAAAAAAATTTAAGACATTTTAGATATAATTCAAAGGACATTTAATGAACTTTTTTCATATGCAAATGTAATTCATATTCGTTCATATAAATAAAATCCTATTATTTTGAACAAAAAAAAGAAGAAACGACGATTTTCTAGGTTTTTTCAATTGAAATTTTAATTTCATTTTACGAATTCATCAGCTAAATGTTACAGTAATCTGATTTGACATGATTATAAGCTAATAATTATAATAATTTTATGCTAACAAATGAAATAAAATTATCTGAATATACTACGGAAATTCATACATACCTGTACAATATCACCAGAAGTTTCATAATTTCTTCCTGCAGCTGAAAATGTTCCAAATAATCGCTGATCATTTTGTTTGTCACCGGAACGTGATGAAACTAATAAATCAATTGGTTCACCATCAGCAGCTATTCCTGCTTCAGGATCAGTAATTATTTGAAATTCACGTACCGGAATACCATAAACGGAATCTGTGATAGCATAGAATAATGTCAGAAATATAGCTTTTTCTGGCACATAAAACATTGAAATTTCGGCGGAATAAACTTGAAATTATAGAAATCCTTTTTCTTTGCTTATTTTTGACAATTTTGCGCCAAATCAGATAGAATATTCACTGATTCAGAATCAATTGATAAATTAATTGATCAGATCAATAAAAATAATACAATAAATTTTGCCGTTTTTTTTTTCTTCCTCGTTTTCTTTTTTCCCGAATAGATTAAGTATTCCGAATTCCGTTACTTGTTCAGCAAATTTGTCATCTATAAATAGTTGAAATTTTTTTCATGAACAACAAAATGATAAAAATACTTCTACAGGATATATATGTGCACATACACACACACACACATACAGAAGACATACGCACACGCACAAACATACACATACACGCATACTCACATACACATACCCACATACACACATATTTCGGTGAAGTGATATGCTTTATTATAGAAGGCGTGGCATTGAGAACAGAAAGATTCTGCTCCATCAAATAAATGGCCAAACAATAAATTTTATGGTATAGCCAAAGTGGACACAAAATATACATAAAAATACATATATATCAACATAGGAGAATATTTCAGTTTAAAAATTTTCTATCATAATCTTTTCTCATAGATATTTTCATCGATTATATCGAATAACCGAAAATTTTATAATATACTAAACTTAAATAACATATCTATCCAAAAATTTTATTACTTATTATTAAGCTGAATTAAAAATAAATATTAATTAATGTTTAGTAAATGAATTTGCATTAACAGATAATTAAATTAAATATAATTTTCAAAAATTTTGATACAGTTGATAAAAATTGAGAAATAATTAATTTTTTCCTATACCATTGTTATCATTAACTGTTTAGATTAATTTCATTCAAATCAAATTATTTGTTTCTTTTTCCTTTCCGAAAATTTTCCTGCTCTAAAGATTTCCAAGTTCTTAAATGGTAATTTAAATTTAAATTGTCATTTACACAATTCTCTTCATCAAATTTCATGCATGAAGTTTATGAAATTTTTAGAAATGCATATTCTATTTACTTCAGTAAAACTGATTATTCAATAATTGAATTATTTCTAAATCTAAGTAATTTTCAATTTCAGTAAAACTGATTATTCAATAATTGAATTATTTCTAAATCTAAGTAATTTTCAATGATTTTATTTTTTTACAACAATATTAAAAAATTCATTATTCATAGCTTTTTGGTGACATGAATTTTAGAACGCCAAAAAAATCACAAAAATATGAAATTCTTCGCAACCTCTTTTTTTAAATGTTGAATTTTTGCCATTTTAACCACAACATCAACATTTCCGTTTGTCAATAATAAGCAAGCAAGAATGTAAATTTACGTTGACAATAATAGTGAGAAAAATTTGCATAATTAAAGGGAACAGCTAACGAATTTTTATAAATATACAAAAAAAAAAGAAGAAAAAAAACCTTATCTATTTTCAATTCCAGTTAAAAATATTTAATGGGTTCAAAAAAAAAGCGCAAAAAAAAAAACGTAAAGGAAAGAATCATACAAAATGAAATATGTAAAATGCAGTTAATTTTTTTGTTTGAAACGATTTCAACCATCTATTTAATAAGTCTTTGACGTTTTAAGAAACAAATAAAAATGATGAAATTGAAAAGAATTTTCTTTCTTTTTTAAATTTGCAAAAATATTAAAAAGAAGTTTTATGTGCGATACTTGCACGCACTGCTTAGAATGGCGAATAAAATGAAAATTTCTTTTTCTAGTTTATTGAAAAAAACTGTGCATATAAATTTAAACTACATATAATTCAAACTCGATTTCCACACTAATCTTTTTATCAAAATTTGCCTTTTCAACCAAATTACTAATTTTTGATTTCTAATAAGACTTTATCTAATATAAAAAAAAATAATTAGGAAAAATTAATTATAGCATCCTTATTATCTTCATTTTTTTTAAACTTATAACTCTTATTTAAATTTTCAAAATTTTGGAATAAGAATAACTGGGAATTTTAATGGTACAATTATTTTTCAGATTTTATAGACATACAATTAAAAAAAGGAAAGAAAAACTTGACATTATCTGATAGCAAGCAGTATAATTTGTTGTAATCTCTTGCGATCGCTTGCCAAGAATAAGTGATTTATTCATTGGTTGATGAATTTCTAAAAATTTCCAATAAACACTGATAAATTGTCCGTTATAGATTATAGAAAAGTGATTAATATTACTTTATTATAACTTATTCAAGATTATTTGTACCTATCTCAGATTATCTCAGAATAATTCATAATCTCATTTGCAATTATTACAATATATTTCACAGTCATATTTGTATTTGTACCATACATCCTAAAACAATCTCTCTTAATCTCATTTGTATTAATTATAAACTTGTACCGATATATTCGTCAATTTTATTTCCGACATTTTTTTGTCATCGAGTGAAAGGAAGAAATAACGAAAATGTTTGTGAAGAATAAATTTTTGTTTAAAAAATAAATCAGCATTGTTTATCACATATTATAACTTTTTACAATCATCTATTTTAGTATCATCATCATCACCAACCATCACCATCATCATCAGTCATCATCATCATCACCAATCATCATATTATCACCAATCATCATCATCACCAATCATCATATTATCACCAATCATCATCATCATCATCATCATCATCACCAATCATCACCATCATCATCAGTCATCATCATCATCACCAATCATCACCATCATCATCAGTCATCATCATCATCATCACCAATCATCATCATCATCACCAATCATCACCATCATCATCAGTCATCATCATCATCACCAATCATCATCAGCATCATTATGATCTTTCTACATATTTAGGACACAGCAAAATTCGGCGCAATTTTATTCTCTTTCCCTAAAAAAACATTAAAAATGTTGAAATATGCTAAATTATATGTAGTATCATATCAATATGTACATTTCAAAATATTTCAAACTTAATGAAGTTTGCAAAGTTTAATTTGCAAAAATTTAAAATATAGATAAGATAGGATAGGATAGATAAAATAATTTCTAATCAAATTTGCAAGGTTTGAATGAATACCTAGAAAAAGCAAGGGTAAAATAAACTAAGACAGATAAGAGAATAATTTTCTAATTAAATTTATGAACATTAAAAGGATTAGAGAGGACAGGATAGTATACATTGAAATGCTTTTAAAATATATATTAATTTTACAATTAAATTTGAAAAATTTAAATAAATGGGTGAAAAAATCTTAATTCAAATATTAAAAATTAACGAAATGAATGATTGATTATTAGTAGTAAAAACAAAAAAGAAGAGAAAATTTGACAAAACAATTACCCAGATTAAACTTTTAGAGATTAGTGGAATTTTTTAATAAATCCATCATCTATCTAACCTATTCATTTCTTATTTTTCTCCAATCTTCTATTAATTACTACTTTTATTACTATTACTATTACTACTACTTTTACTACTATTACTACGAAGCATTCTTCCCTCATTTTGAATGTTAACGAATAAAATAGAAGGAATTAATTAGTGAAATAATGGAATAAATTAATGAAAATGTATTTTTTTTTTCGACGTTTTTTTTTTTTTTGCATTGCAGAAAATTTCATATTGAGTATTCGATGAGTGCAAAAAATTTTAAACATTTATTATTTAATAGTATATAAATCATGCATCTTTTAACTCTTTTTTCTTATATTTCAATTTTTTTTTTTTTTTTTTTAAAGAAAAAAAAATAAAAAATTGTTAAAACGATGAGCTAAATATAAACAATGCCATTAATTCGTAATGTAACCAATATCGAAGAAATGATTCATTCTTTTATTATGATGACAATAAAGATGACATGAATGACATATGAACAATAGCGCTTATCCATTGATGTAACTAAACGATTCATTTGTTTTGTCTTAAAAGTGCAAATGCTACGAACTTTTTAGTGAGAAAAAAAAAAAAGAATTAAATGATAAAAACGATGAAAAAATTTTTTCCTTTTTTTAAATATAATATAATTATGCATAATGTTGATATCAATAATATGATAAAATCATTGCCAAAAAAAAATTCTTATCATTGAAACGAATGTCACATTGTATTGTATCAATTTGTGACATTGTCGTTCAAAAATTTTCCAAAACCTACAACATCCATCAATCCGTTATTCCTTTTCCGCTTACCGCCCCTCTCTCTTAGTGCTTCACATTCTTAAATCATATTGACATTTTTTTTTTTTGTCAGATGTCAACAAAAATAACACATACGAAAATGATACTGTATCAGCTAATTAGCTAGACAAAATTTATTATGCTTTATTATAGAAGATGGAAAAGGAATGAAATGTTTCAATTATGTGAATTAATAAAATAAGCGAATAAAAAAAATCAAGCATAGAAGCGAAATATAGTTAAGAATACAATAATTAAGATGCAAGATTAATTAATGTTTAATTGATTTTAGAATGGCTATTTGTTTGCTTTTTCTTCAACCCAAACAATTTTAGATGTGTTAAATAATCTTAAAATGAGAAAGTATACGATATAATAACTACAGTTTGATAATAAAATAATAAATATGTTGGTTACTATTAAAGTGTATACCATTTTAGTTTGATGAATGATTAATTAGACCTTAGGAAAGTTTCACACAAATTTTTCTCATATCTTTACTGTAGTATCATTTCAAGTGTCATTAAGTATCGGAGGAGCAACGCTGATAATAATTAAGCCTAAGTAAACAGAAATATCAACCATTATCACCAGTGGCTGATTACAAATGATAAAAGACGAAGAGCTTGATTTTCACAGTCCTCTCTATGTCTGTAATATTGTTGGAAAAATGTTGCAACTCTTTTCTTAGTATTTTATTTTCATTTTTATTTTCTTTTACTCAAATGAAAATAGTAAATAGATGAATATATGAATTAATGAGTGAAAGTTTTAATTAGTAAACGAATAAAAAAATAAACGATAAGCAAAAAAAAACGGAAATTTATAATAGAAAACACAAATAGTATTATAAATAATTATGAGAATTATACAAATTTCATTCAAATATTATTATCTTTTCTTTCAATTCCAATTAATTTTAATTAAAAATTTTTTCTTTCAAAGTTTTCAAAAAAAAAAAAAAAGAACTAGAAAAAAAGATAATCGTTATAGAATCACATAAATAATAAATCACAAAAAAAAATTTCTTCTTTTCGTAAATTTTTTTAAAAAAAAATTACGAATTTATAGTATGACATAAAACATTAGGAAAAATAGATAATATTAAAAAGAAAGAATCTCCAAAAAAAAAAAAAAAAAAAAAAAAAAAAAAAAAAAAACACATTAAACAGAAAAAAAAGCGAGAAAAGTGCATTATGGAAAGAGAGAAGAAAACTGAGAAGGAATGAATGACAAATCATTAATTATTTGATGAAAATTAAAAGCAGTAGGCCGACTATTTTACTTTTTTCCATTACTCCTATAATTTTTCTGACCTGATAATGTTGATACCGTATGGAAATATCAGGCTGAGAAACCGGAAAATTCCAGCAACTTCAAGATGGATGAGAAGAAGAGGCGGAAGAGCTGGAAAGTAGTAGAATAAAACATTCTTCATAAATACAAAATATTAAATTTCCATTTATGGAAAAAGAACAGATTTAATACAAATTAAATTAATCTCTTCCTTTCTCCATTTTTTTTTTTTCTTTAACATCTTAAAAACTGCAAATCAATTCGAGAATATATGTAAATTGAAAGAAAAAATAAGTTTAGTTTAATCGATTAAAAAATGATTTAAAAAAGAAAAAAAAAGAAATTTTTTTTTGATCTAAGAATAAGATAAATTATTATTATTTAAAAAAAAAAAAATATACTTATAAATACTCTAATAAAAACTTTTTTCTAAATAAAAATTTTTATAAATTGACAAAAAATTTCTCTAATAAAAACTTTTTATAAATTGACAAAAAAAAAATCTTTTGTGATCTCCAATTAAGTAATTTATAACATAAAATTTGATTACATGAAATAACTACAATTTTTTATATCTTTTATAAAGTAATTGTAATTATGAAGCAATAAAAAAGATGAAAGTTTATTAAATGAATGAATGATATGATAGAAGAATATTTTATAAAAGTTGTTGTTATCAATCAAATTTACATTTTACTTTTGCAAATTGAGAATGTTATAAAGAGAAAAAAGAGAGACAAAAAGTGTATTACAAAATTTCAAAGCTCGAAAATTCTTAAATATCCTTTCAATATACTTTTACAGTTTTAAAGTTTTTATAGATTTATAGCAAAAACTTACATCAATAATAATTTTTGAAAAAAACTAACCAAAAAAATATTATTAATTGTTAAATAATTAAGTAACAAAACAACAAGTAAATAATCATGATATACTTAAAAGGAAATTTAAATTATTTATTTTTTCATCGTGTTTCAATTTACCAATCAAAGAACTGTAATAGGAATAAGTGATTAATTGATAAAAACTTTCATGAAATTTTTTTTTAAAAAATTCTCGAAAATTTAGATTTTTTTCCATTAAAGTTCTAGTTCACTCTATTAAACTTAATAAAAAAATATTAAATACAATTTTTGAAATGGTTTTTATTTTGAAATAAAGATCTCAAAAGTCGATATAAGTAGGATATTGAAGGACTACGCAAGCTAAAAAGATGCATCTCTCCTCTCCTCTTCCTCCCTCTTCTCTTCTACTACTATAATTGACATTTCAATTTGTTTATGGCATTTGTTTGCAAATTGGTTGCACATCTCGATGGATGATTATACATACATACTGCTGCATATGTTAGTTGGTATCCTTTAATAAATTCTTCTTAGCGTTCAACTGCAAAAGTAAACAAACAAAATTAAAATGAAAGAAATAAAAAATGTGAAAAAGTGAGACAAAACATATGGTTAATTATTCAAATTTTTATATTAGTTATTAAATTAATCACTTTATCACATCACAATATTTTTGCTCATCCACTAAACAATCACAAATATGGATTACAAATGAAAAAATTGAATTTAAATGGTACAGTTTAAATGGTTGGAAATAAATTCAAAATTTAACAGACAGGTTAAAATAATTAATGTAAATTAAACAATTCAAAATGATAAATAATACAAGAAGATGATAATAAATACAATAAATCTGCAATTAACAAAATATTGTACAATAATAATAATAACAATAAAGAAAAGAAGAAAATGTTTGATGAAAATAACAAATGTGAATTGGGAAGCTAAAAATTAGTATTTAATATTTTGCTTTCAAATAATTAATTGTTTTTCCTAGCAAGGATGAGCATTATCAATTTTCAATAACTTCAATTTATCAAAAAAATGTGACAAAAGAAGAAAAAACAACTAAGTTCCTTAAATTTTCATATTAATTTAAAGAAAAATTTTTGCTTACATTTTTCTAATTCTTCGTGTACTTAAATTTGGTGCATATTCATATTTATTTCAGAAAACTCAAAGAAAAAAATAGTGATAGCTATACTTCATATATTTAAATATCATTCAAAATTTTATAAATAAAAATATGAATGGAAGGATTTGAAAATAGAGAAATGAAAGGGAAGATAGAATTGCTGGGGAAGAGAGAGAGACAGGAAGAAGGAGAATGAATTAAATAGGTGAATCCCAAAGATAGATTGAAAAGCATGAAATTTGATATTGTATCCTTTCCGCTCTCTCTTCGGTAAAAATGTAGGAGGAAGGGAGGAGGAGGGAGGAGGGAGGAGGGAGGAGGAGGAGGAGAAAGGAAAGGTTGACGACAGTGGACTGATAGCTTTGCGGAAGAAACAAACGGATTGAAAATGAGTGAATAACAACGAGGTGGTCTTCCGCGATTCAATTTCCGCCCCAACTGGAAATGATACCATAAATAAATAAATATATATGAACACACATACATACATACATACACACACACATACACACATTAAGTATAAAATTGTTGAAAACATATGGCAGAGTAATCAAGGTAATAATGCAATGCAAAAACCCAATTTGTCATAAATTTCTGAAATATGAAATTTTCACATTAAAAAATAGAATAAAACCACAGCTTATAATTATAGTATAAATAATATGATTATAGCAGAGAAATTAGTAATAATGAGAATAATAATAAAATAATAAGTAAATAAATGAATAATAAATAAATGAAAATAGAAAAAAAGCGAGTGAAACATCTAAAAAATTAAATAGGTTTGAGTCAAGGAGCATAAAATCTAAAAGAAGAGTTGAAAGAGTAGGGAAGGAGGAATTTTTGGGTGAAGGAGTAGTTTTGAGGTGATAGGATTGTCAGGGGAGGGGAAAAAGAAAGGAAAAGATCACTCGGGACACTATATCATTAGTTTGTGATTGCGGCAAACATCAAAGAATAACAATGTGCCACATCAAAGGCATTACGCCGGTCGCTTTTATGTTTAGATATAAGGAACATATATCGATATATATATATATCGATATAGCGGTGTACATACATGTAATGCCTCAAGATATTTGAACTTGACATATTTTCACTTCTTAACTTTATTCTTTCTGTTTATTAAGAAATCTAAGTAGAATTCGTAATAAAAAAAATAAAAAATAGAATAAAAAATAATTAATAATAATGAAACAGTATTAATAGTAATAATCACACTATAACAAATAATATTTGATCAAAAATTTCAATTCAAATTGATACTAAAATTTCAATTAAAGTGTAAGAAAAAAAAAATGGATATGTTAAGGACTAATGATGACGAAATGTATAAATGATCATAAAGCATGAAATAATTAAATCTGACGAGATTCACTGATACGACAACAACAATGATTACATCATTATCAGTGATGTAACAAATTTAACAGGAAGGACTTGTTCGCTTGTCTGATTTTGTTTTTTCTTTTCCTTCTTCTTTCTTGTGTGTATTTGCAGTTAAATTAAATTATGATATGATGATAAATATTCTTATTATTTAATATTAAATTTTTTTTTTCTGAAAAATAAGTGTTTAAATATGATTTGTGAAAATGAACTAAATGTTTTCTTCCTTTTTTTTTCTGAATTGTCTAATATCGCTTTCTCCATCTTTAATCCTTAACTTACAGCGAAAAAAAAAAGACGAAGCATTTGAATGCTTTATCTTTTTCATAAACCAAAATATTTTTGTGTAATGGACACATTCCAAATATTATTTTTAATTTAATTTAATGGAAATATCTAAATATTATTTTTTATTTAATGGAAATATTTAAATATTACTTTTAATTTAAGAAATAAATAATCACTTAATCAATCGATACTTTCGTTTTGTAGTAGTATGTGATTGATATCTTCCGAATGGTTGTAATTCATATATAACTAAATGAATATGATTAAGTAAACAGCAATGTTACTTTACTACTACCTTATTCATATCATAACTAAAAGAACTAATATAAATTATTTCTAATCACTGTTTATCATTGTCTTATCACCAAATAAGTCATATTTTTTATGCAATTGTATGAAACAAATCTTTCTTGAATTATTTCCTTACTTATTTGTTCTTATCATACAAATAAATCTCAAATAGCTTGAAAGAATTGATTACAGTAATGAATTTATCATCCATAAACTTATCAAAAAGATATCAATGAGAGAAGAAAGCGGGGGAGAGTGAGAATAAAATATCGCGAGAATCGGGGAGAAAAAAAAAAGAAAAAAACATGAAGGAAGGAAGAAGAAATGGGAAGATGAATTGATGGTATAGTGAAGGCATTAACAGAAAGAAGATAGGGAAAGGAAATGGTGAGAGTAACCAACGATGATAATGGCACTCTTGAATAAATCGTCGTTAACAATCCAATTTTTATTGAGAATTTTTATGAGCAGAAATACCAGGGATAATAATATGAATGATGAAGAAATATTATCAAATTGTACAAAAATAAAAATTTATACAAAAATTATAACATCGATGAATGAATGAATCATTTTTAGTTATTTAATTAAAAATTTTATTTTTTATTTCTACTGAAATATTAAGTTTTTCAGTTACTAAATACAATATATGATTGGAAAAAAAATTTTATTTTTGGAAAAATATAATGCAATTTATTGTGATTGGAAAAAAATATGTACGTATTAATTAATTAGTTAATTAATTATTTGTTATTATTAAAAAGAAAAAATTTAATTGTACTGTCGAAATTATGAAAACATAAGTTAGTAATTGAAAAAAAGGAAAGGAAAAACAACAAATATTAGAAACTGAAATGATTTAACAAACAAAATCATACTTACCATATTTTGTAAATAATCTTAAGATACAATTTCTGTTTTTATAACTTATCGTAATTATTCTTTATTAAAAGTGAATTGTAATTGTAGCTTACCTTGCAATGACTTAACATAATTTCGTTTATTATAATAGTTAGTAGTTATGGTCAGATTATAATGATGACTGAATAATAATATTAACAATAATAATAATAATAATAATAATAATAATAATAATAATAATAATAATAATAATAATAATAATAATAATAATAATAATAATAATAATAATAATAATAATAATAATAATAATAATAATAATAATAATAATAATGCATGTGCCATTTTATACTTTTTATTTCATAATAAGGAATAAATTAAAATAATTTTTTTTTCTATGCAGCAATAATATATACATTAGTTAAATGGTAATTTAAAGTGATTATCGATTAGATTTTTCCATGATTCGAAATTTCCAACTAACACTAATACTAATTTTTGATTACTATTTCACAGGTGCGTTTTACTGTCTTAAAAATAATATTTTAATTTCGATAAAATCAATCGACGATTCCAAAAAAAAAAAGAAATAAAAATGTTGGAAATCACCGCATTTATCATTAGTTAAAAGTTGGGCGATATTTGGCATTTCATGATGGAAAAAATGAAAGAAGAATGAATTGATAAGATCGCGAAATTTTTACCTTTTTATAATTGCAAAGTTTGAAAATTATCAAAAATCGATTTAAAATGGGAAAAAGAAAGGATTGTTGCTCAATAATGAAATGTATTTGTAATAAGCAATCGATCGGCCTAAATAAAGAAAAAACTTCAATTTTAAATTTAAATTTTAATTAAAATGAAAACTTACAGGCAAAAATTTTGGAAAATATTCGCTTTCAATTTTATTTGTTTTTTTATTTATTTTAACTTTCAAATAATATATATTAGCGTTGTTAATAAAGTATTTCAATATATGCACTACTTTTAAATAATAGTTTAGCTTTTTTTTTTTTTTGGTTTTTCTCAAAAAAGTTTAATTTTTTTTTTTAATTTGCAAACGCTCAAATACAGCACATTTTTCTCATTTGGAAAAAATAATTCGACTAAATAAAATCAATTAAATATTAACAAGAAAGCAAAGTGAAGTATTGTTTTATGTCGCAGCAATTTATTCATTCATTTAACTATTTAAATTTTAATGATAGAGCTCGAATAATTATAATAGAATTCTTAATCTTCATATTCTAACTCTTTGAGAATTCGAAATTAAAATAATTTTAATTATACCATAATATTTGAATATTTATTTTTTTCTCTATTTGGGTTAGTTTATCCCTTCATTTGAATTCTAGCAGTAAATGGGTAGAAAAAAAGTGTTTGAATATTTAATTTCTGAATTAATGTTAACGAATATATATATTTTAAGCTCATTGGATTTAAAAAAAATTACTTTGCAATAATTACAAAATAATTTTATAACATGAAACAACAGTTTTATTACATTTGTCCCATGCTATATCATTTGATTCGTTTCATATAAAACAGTTAAAGTTAAATAAAAATTTAATTTCCATTAAATTTTTTGGAAAAAAGAAATCTTACAGACTATATGCTTAACTTTCATAAACCTATGTCATCTAGTTATTATCATTATGTCATCATTGCCATCACTAGTTATTATCATTATCAGACCACTGTGTATTGCCAACATTATTAGTTATTATCGTTATATTTGTTATAATCATTAGTTCACTAATATCACAGCCATTAGTTTATTGCTACCGTTGTCATCACCGATTAATTGCAGTAATCGTTTTATTCGATCGTATCTCTTATTTTAACTTTTATCATAAATAGCTAACATTTAAAATTCTATTTATTCCTTTAATTACATTTAATCAACTACAACTTGCTCAATATCAATGACTATTCATCAACTAATTAGATTATTAATTATTTCTTATTTTTTTTATTTACTTTAATTTGTTATCGATACGATTATATTTTTAAGATATGAACTGTAGTAAAAATATGACTAATTTTATTTGATGAAATAAAATTTTTAAGTGATTTAAAGAAAAGATGAGTAACCTATTTTCAATTTTCATAAATTAATATTAAGTTATGGAAAATTAAATTAGACATTATCGCATTGGGATTGACGATTTGTACAACGCAACCGCTATTTTGACAGTTCTAAAGTTGCATTGGTTTGACAAGTTTGGTTTCAATATGACTTTGAGGTCGGTTGACTGGTGGTATGATGATGAGGTTAGGGGGACGTGTAATAAAGTGTTCTCACTGCTTTACGTATAGCGTTCACGTGTAAATTCACGTATGGAACTTTTTTTTCTTTTGATTTTGTTTTTGGAAAATCGTTTTTTTTTTGGTTTATATAGCCATGTTTGTTCTATTTTGTATAATAGTTTATATGTCGTTATCTATACACTTAGCATTGTTTAACTCAGATCAGATTACTTTAGCATTACTTTCGATTTCCTTTATTACACATAGCACAAAGATGTTTCATATTCATGTTACATCTAGTAACATTTTAATTATTTGTTACTATGAATTTTGTAATTCCTAATTCTTCTTACCATTTCAGACATTGTTATCATTGGCCATTATTGCACTATGACACAGTTTTTACCGGATAATTTGTTGGCGTTGTTTGAAGCACGACCACCATTACCGTATAAACCACCGCCCGATGATTTACTTATTGACCGGAAGCGACCGAAAATGTCTGGTTTATCCGAATACATTCATCTTTTCGAGGTATGTTTTTGCATTGTAAGATGACAGTTAATTCTGTAGAGTTATTCGAAACTTGATTTGATTTTATCATCTAGTTTCATACGGTAAATTATAGCAGGTGTTTCCGAATTATGAGGCAGTTATATCATATTAACATATATGGACTTTATTTTAAGTAAAGCGTTAAAGTGAAGAAGTAATAATCGCCTTATTGTATTTTTTATATGACTAACTGTTTTATACATGCGGAAATTTTCTTCAGAGAACCTTCATTAATGGTTATACTAATAAAAACTTACAAACCTGATGTCAATAAATAGTATAAAATGGTGTTTATACTTGTTTACAGGACCCTAAGGATACGCCACCAAAGCCAGTCTATGAATCGAAAGAAGAAAGACGGGCTCGACGGGTTAGTAAAATATATTTCTCGATCCAGAATAAAAAATTTAATTCATTTGTAGTTCCTTTTGATTTTTTTGGCTAAATAAATAACAAGATTGCAGAAAGATTTAAATGAAAAGATTCTAACTTTTCAAGACATTTCAGAAGATGAAATTTTAAAGATGTAGAAAAGTTTGTCCTTCGGTTTTCTGAGATGTTAGATTGCATAAGTAGAAGAGCAGTGTTCTCTACATATGTATGAAAAAATAAATACCATCATCTTTTAACAGTAACTGCACATCTTATATGTTTGTTGCAGCGAAAAGAAAAGGAGGAATTGTTGGCATATAAGATTGAACAAGGCATTGCGACATGTATGTTACGTTATTATTAATTATTGATTTCATTGCTTCGATCGCAGAAGCTTATTTTTACCTTTTTATTGAAATTCTTTACACTTTTATTTTTTTTTGTGTTTTCAGTTTTAAAATTTTTGTAATTGTAATTGTAGTTTTCCTGTTTCAGGGAATCCAGCTCAGAATCCAAGTGCAACCACCGATCCGTATAAGACTTTGTTTGTAGCTCGAATAGTAAGTTGTTAATACAATATTATTTTTTCTGAATTAATAAACGGTTTTAAACAAATATATGAAACAAACAAAAGATTACCAAGAATGGAATGATTTTCGGTATCATTTAATTCGATCTGAATTTTACATGCACTGTAATTGAAGTTTATTCGGCCTAAGAAACTTATTATGAGGGTAATATGGAAAAAAAAAAAAATCGTTCATAGTTTTGCAAGTATCGCTCCGAGTTCTAAACTACTGTGAAATAATGAAATAAAACTACGTCGAGAATTTTTTGATGCATGTAATTTTTTTTTTGCTTATCCTCACTTTTTTTTTATGATACGAGGGAAATTTCTTCGATGCATTATAGTTTACCTTTGTATTCAGACTACAAAGTAAGTTCTTTTTTTTTGTATTCAGAATTATGAAACGTCCGAATCGAAACTTCGACGAGAATTTGAACAATTTGGGAAGATCACACGTGTAAGTAAAATTCATTATAAGTCTTAATAAGTCCGGGATGCAAAAAAAAAAAAATTATAAGTCTTAATAAGTCCGGGATGCAAAAAAACCTGCGGTGCAAAAAATGCAGAATTATTATGTTTTACAAGATTTTTTTAATATTCTTTAGATTTTTTTTATATTTCTTTAGTATTGATTAGGTAATGATCATTGTGTTATCATATGTTACTGGTTTTTGGATGAACAAACTTGTGTTTGCACCATAGCGTTCGTATATTTATTGTCAACATCCCATGTGAAGCTTACTAAATGACCTAGTCAATAACAACCAGTGACGATCGGCGAAAACAAATTTCAGTTAGCATTGGTTCATGATAAAAATGGAAAACCACGAGGTTATGCTTTTATCGAATATCAACATAAAGAATCAATGTCAGGTAATTTTCTAAATTAGTTTATGAAAATACTGAAATGTTTTAATGATGGTAAGTCAATTGCTTTGTTGAAAATTTTGGTACTATGGGTAGATAATAATTGTATTGTCAAATTTTCTTACATTTCGTACATTCATTAACTTTCGCGGACGCTAAGCTTGGATGTTTAAGTTTGTTTATTAAACTTGATTTTTACACATTGAATCTGCAGACTGTAAAAAGTTCAGATATGAATGCAAAATAAAATCCAGCTGATCTTTGTTCTTTTAAAGTAACTTATTTTTATTGAAATGCCGCTTTATTCTTTCTTGTTTAAACCACTCTTGTTCCGTTTTTTTCCTTGCAGTATTTAGCTGGTTTTCTCGTAAATTATACGGCCTTATTAGAATTGTCTTAATCTTATAGTACAATCCAACAATTCAGTCGACACATTACACTTAATTTTTCTTTGACAGTATGAACCAACTTTTGATGACACCTGAACAGATACTCTTTCAACCGTCTCTCGCATGACCTAACTTGACATATGGGCTGAACAATGCTGTATAGTAAAGGTAACAATACTGGGTTACATTACGTGATGCAGTTGCTGTTGTAATTCTTTGAGCATTATCATGCATCTTTCCTACTAGAAAAAAAAATTCCTTCTGAGGTAATTCTGAGATTGTTAGTGAAGGAGAGGAATTATTTCTTCAAATAAATTTTTAGTTATTGGGACATTTGTTATTGTTTGTTTGCAAATGGGTAAGTTACATGGTTGTGTGATATTTGGACAAGCACACCTTTCTTTCTTTCTTGGCACAACTTTTTTAATACTTCTTTTTTGGAAATCTACAAAAACTTATGGTGCTGTATTTGCAGAAGGGCAGCATTCGCTTTGAATGGTCGTGCCTGTCTCTTGAATGCACACATATATCAGCCATGGGTTTGTTTCTAAACACTGTGATGAGTCGTCTAAATTTCACATGATTTTTAAAATAGAAGTTTTGAAGTTAAAAAAAGGAAAAGCAAAAATAATAAAATACATAACAGGATACGACTCACACAGAAAAATGGTTAAGAAAACATGAAACTGGCGCAAGATTGCAGAGCGTTTTGCCATGGTTTGTTTTAAGTGCGGTAAGGCTCTGTGTATGTGTGTGTGCATGTGTATGTATGTGTGTATATAAGTATATATATTTAAAAAATATATATATGTTTAATATTTGCGATACCGTCAATTAGCAGTTTTATTAGGAGTGAAGCAAGACTAATAACTAGCAAACTTTATTCTGAAACTGATTGAGGCTGCCAGAACAATATTTCAAAACGATGTTTTATACATGAATGAAAGAATGAAATTTTAAAATTAATGGATGAGGGAGCATCCCTGGTAATATCATCATTAAAAAAAAAAAAACTATTAAGCATGCAGAGATTTATTCGTCGAAATGCCTATCCAAATCAAAAGATTGGGGTATGTGGCCTACCTTGTACTTTAATAATATTGTTACTTAGATGTTATAGCTGGCAGCTTCATTTTTTTTTTTCTGCTAGTATGGATATGTAACAGTTTATTTATTATTTAATTTTACTTTCTACTCTGTTTATAAGCAAAAAGAAAAAAAAATTGTTTATTATTTGATACTAAAGGCGGGTAAGTTGAAAGGAGTAAGTTGTTGTGTGGGTAAGTTTTCACATGGACGCATGCTTCTCCAATTGGCACATGCTTTTCATCTAGCAGATATTATTGTCATATTGTCATTAACGTACATTTAAAGGTAAGCTGGGTGAGTTCCTTTGAGTAGCAATAACCTGCGTGATGTAAGGTAAAGTTAATGTCAGCAATTGTTATTTGGACTAGAGATTGGAAAACCTTCTTTGGTTTTTTCGACAACAATTATTTCTTCTAACAGGGAATTATATATCACTGAATTTATAGTGATTGATGTATCTACTCTGACAGAATATAGACTGTTGCAGACACAGCGTTACGTGCTGTTTACCAATTATCCATTAATAAATTGTTTTTAGAAGCTTACAAAAAAGCTGATGGCATGAAAATTGATGGACGACGGGTGGTTGTTGATTATGAGCGCGGTCGTACACAGAAATCTTGGTTGCCACGACGGCTTGGTATGTTTATTATCGCAAGTTTACAAAATGTAACACTTGTAAATGTAACTGATTTTGAAGTTTTGGTCTGTTTTATTCACAAACTTTGGCCCGTTTTTTCACAAGAAATAAGTATTAGTGATTCAAACGATTTGCATGCAATTTTAGCTTTTTTTTCGTCAATGATACAAATTAAAAAGTGTATATAAAAAAATACTTTGAGCTTGGAGTTTAAAATCCTGAAGTTGTATCACCACATAGTAATGGAGATGATACCATTTCTAGGTGGTGGTAAAGGTGATACACGACGTCTTCGTGAATCAAAAGCTGTGCTAGAAGCAGCTGCATTAGAAATGGCTCATGAAGACCGTGATCATCGATCTTCATCTACCCATCGCTCATACTCCCATGATCGCGATCGGGAACATAATGGCACAGTTTCGAATTCAAGGCGTCACAGTCGTAGTCGTGATCGTGATCGTGATAGAGATCGTGATCGAGATTCAAGACGGTCAGTTCTTAATGTTTAATTGTTACTAGTATTATTTATCTCATCTTCCGAACTAAGAAATAAGCATAAAAGTATTTTGGGATGTATAAAGTGTAACTTATAGGTCATTAATGTGGAATGAATAATACTGATGTGCAAAGCTAGCTGCATGTACAAAATTGCATTCCTTGTATTTAATTTTTATGTGTTAATATACATTTCTTTACATGTTTAAGGAAATGCAACAATCAGGACTTATAACATTTTAGGTACGATGATCATCGTTCGTCACGTGATGGTCGAAGCGATGGTGATCGGGACCGTGATTATCGGGATCGTGATCGAGATAGAGGCCGCGATTATGATCGTCGACGCCATTAAGTTACCGGATAATTTGAGCAAGGCTTTTCGTTTTCCTTTTTTATTTTCTTTTTTTGTGAATCTGAAGTGTTCATCAAGTCATTTATTAGGCCATTCAAAGCAAGTCATTTTAATGGTTCTCTGATTGCGCAGCAGAGCTTCTTGATCACGGTAAGTTTAGTTCATAACGCAATACAGCTTTGGCAAATCCCTTTTTTTATTGTTTGAAATGAATTGTGTAATGTTTTTATGAATTGATATAAAGTTTTATTTGTCGTATTGTTCGTTTCGATGTTTATATTGATAAATTTTGGATAGATCATTGAAATTATTTTGTTTAGCAAGTCATCAGATTACATTTTGTCGGTCATTATATCGCGATTATTGGATTTCTGCGTTCAGTAGTTTATTAAGTCGATGGTTGTTAGGTTGATCACCTGCATATTGTAACAGATGAATTTGATAATGTATTCATTAATTTTCCTCATATTGTTACAAGGGAAATATTCATTTAAAATCATAATACATTAAATTGGATTCATAAGATTATATTTGAAAATGTAAATTAATGGATACTTCATATTTCTTGGTGGACAACGGTGAAATAATGGCCACTACTACCACTGTTGTTAGTTATTCCAAAATGTCACAAGTTGTTCTCAAAATTCAAATTTGAATGAATTATTTCACTTAATGTAACATCATAACACGCATCAGTGTTTTCTTAATGTATACAATCGCGAGTTTCTCCAGCAAATTTGCCAGCTAATTCAATTGTACCCGCATTATACCATTTCCGTGGTGTTTTTGCTTCTGTGATATAACCATCTGGTATCATAATGCTGATTTTTCTCTGGCATGGCTAAAATATTAAGTGAAAATGAAATTTAGAGGAAAATAGGAAATTTGAAGTAAGGTTCTTTTGGGAAAAAATGGCATCTTTAAATATAATTTCCGACATTAATTCATGAGTGAAATGATTTTACTAAAAGTTAAGAAAAGGTGGTTCGTTACTGATTTGTGGATTTTTATCTCTTAATTTTTCAAATCTTATAAACTAAGATTTTAATTGTGCAAATGAAATAATTCCATTGCCTTAATTCCATCATTGCAGTCATGGTAAATGTTGAATTTCGGATCAATTGGTGACATTTCATGTATGTAGCCGGAGAGCTCGAAATTTCCTTGCGAATCAGATTTTGTTTCACCCATGAAATCATCCATATCAATTCCTGAAATGTTTTTCATTTCTTTTTTTTGGTTAAAATACTAATTTTATAGCTTTCAACATTTTACATCTTAAATTATATTCACCGATTGATCTCTCCAGTGATTAGTACTCTCAAATGATTTGTTGATTTGCAATTGGTGTGCATTTTGTTTCCATTACAAAATGGTAGTAATTAAAAGTATGATTTGGAAAAAAGTTCTCTTCGTGATTTCAAATGAAAGATAAATGGGAACTGGTATTTTCTTGCACTAAGTAATTTAATTTAATTTTTTTTTTTGACAATAACAATATCATTGGATGATGAAATTCATCAAGTAGGATTTTACAAATCGTAGGATTACTAGGAGCATATATATATTCGAAGCAATTATAACAAATAGAATTTTTCATTCATTCCAATACTTTTTTTTTGGCATACTTAGTAGGCTGAATCTTGTTGGTATTCTGAACTCGGTGAACTAGTCTCTATAATCATCGTTTAATTTGATAAGTTGCACTAACCTCTGTCATCATCGTATAATTTGATAAGTACCCGAGGTGCAGGTCGTCCGTTGCACATTAATGTACCTCGAACACCGGTGCTTTGTACACGTCCAACTAAGCCACCAAACGCACAAAATACAATCGGCAAACTGATTATTAATAATAATAATAAACGGAACATCTGAAATTTCTTTTTTTTTTTTTTTTTTCACTAAATATTAAAATTTGTTGGATTGTGTACCATTAAGTTAGTAGATTTTTTAATACAAAAGTTTGCTACAGTTCTAATATTACTTTTGGAAAGAATGAATGGAAAGCATTTTGTAATGTGATAGCTATAAAAGGATTTGATAAATGAAAAAAAAAAAAAAAAAAAAAAAACTTTTTTAAGAAAAAGAGAAAAGAGATATCAAATCGTTTGAAAGTCCTTAACAAAAATGGCATATTATATGACATGCGACTAATTAATTAAAAAAAAAGATTCACAATTTTTATACTAGTTTTTTTTAAATTAAAAATTTTTTAGCTGTTAAAATAAAAAGTTTAAATTTAAAAGTTAAAAAAAAGAATTTTTCAAAAAATAGTAACGAAAAATAAAAATAACTACATTTTTTTGTTAACATTCAAAGTAAACAATCTCCATTACTGTTCATCATTAAATTGAATATTAATAAATACGAAAAAAAGGTTTCAAAAATATTTCAATTTTAATATATTAATGTTAAGAATAGCTATCAAAATTTGAACTTAACATGATAACATTAAAAATATAAGAAATTGGAGAAACAGTTGAAAAGAGAGTTAACGTAAGAGATGGCTGTTGCTCATACAATTTGATAAATGAACATTGCGAGCATTTCAAATTTTGAATCACATAACAACAGTTGTTCCACAAACAGTCATACCACGTAACTTACCCTTTATATATTAGAGAGAATGCATTGATGAAATGATCGGATCGTCAATGATGACAAACAAGGTCCTTTACAGTGATATTAATCTATTATTATGATACAATCATTCATTATTAGTAATAATAACAAGACAACAAAAAAAATGACAATAATAAAAGCGATAATGATAATATTTAATAATTGCAATAATAATGATTGATAATAATAATGATAATAATAATAATAGTAGTAATAATAACAATAATAATAATAATAATACAATATTGTATCATTAATTATGATCATGATGATTACCCAATTTGTTTGCTGCAATAAATTGAACTTATCTATAAGTACGAATAACTCACTTCAATGATTCTCATGTATTTCTGCTGAAAACAGACTAAAATTGTAAAATTTGATTAAAACCTAAAATTAATTCCAAACTTCTATGCGATGTTTTTATATCTATTAACCATATAATTACTAAATTATATTTAACAAAAAAAGGGATTGATTAATAAAAAATTTGTCAAATAATGTTTTCAGCAGTAAAATTATAACCAAATTGTAAGAATTTTGGATTTGCATATGACTTTTTGAATTTATTTTTTGCAGGTTAATCACAATTCATTGTTTAAGTTTTTAATAATATGATATAAAAGAAAATATTAATGCAATAAATATTTTATTTCCATTATCGATTTACTCAAAATAAATGTTTAATGGTAGAACATATTCAAACAAATATATGAAATGCCGTCACGAATTATATTTCCATACTTTTCATTTTTCCTTGCATCCATTTTCTATTCCTTTTTTGGTTTTAAATTTGTTGAAATAAAAAATGCTAAATTTAGCAATACTGAATTTTATCCTTTTTTCCTTATCATTTGTATATTAATTAAATTCATAAATATCAAATTTATCTTCATATTTTAATTAAAAATTATTCAGCATATTTTCTCAAATTTATTTCTTTATTTTTTGTTCAATTAGTTCATAAAATTATAAATTTTGTTGAAAATGTTTTTGTCAAAATTTTATTTTTGAATAGTTTATCTTTTTAATAATAAAAAAAGCTTTTTTCTTCCTTTTTCCAAATAATTCATTGGAAAAAACTTTTTTCCAATCCTTTAATTTATTATTTTACCAAAAAATATCAAATGAACAAACTTTTTACATAAAATGTGAATGAATATTTTTTGGTCTATTCTTCAGTGGAAAATCAAATGGAATTAATTCATACAATTGAAAAATAAAATGATCCACTTCTTTCTTTCTTTCTCTCCCTCTCTCTCAATCCTTTCATTTTATCATATCATTACAACAGTAATCTAATAAATGATATGATTAAAATGATAATGATACAATCGACATTCTAATGTATGCAATCACGTGTTTCACCGCTGTATTCACCTGCCAACTCAATTGTTCCAATGTCATAAAGTTTTGTTGGTACATTACCAATAGCAATATACTCATCCGGTATCATAATACTGATTTTGCGTTGACAAGGCTGCAACACCTTATTTCACCTTATCTTATCATTTTTTTATTATCACTAATCATCTTAAACCAGAAAAAAAAGGAAAAAAATTGAATTTTTCCCTCTTTTTTCGTCGCAAAATATATATTATAAAACTTTAAATAAATAACTGCACATCTTTTTTTTTTAATTTCAGATTTTTCAAAAAAGAAACATTATTTTTTAAAAATCTCAAATTTCTAAATCGTTTTCTTTCTTCATTGAAAGAAATTCTTCAACCAAAAATACTGTATCTAATTCTTTGTCTTTTTTTTTGTATGATTTAATAAATTTACAAAATTGATAATTTAATACATACCCACCAACCATCATTACAGTCATGGTAAATGTTTATTTTAGGATCAATTGGTGTCATTTCAGCATTACTTCCAGTAATTTCAAAAAATCCACGTGAGTCGGTAATGGTTTCACCCATAAAATCATCAAAATCCAAACCTGTAAAAATTATTGCAAATAAATATAAATAATAAACAAACAAAGTTAATGTTATCTTTTCAATTTAAATTAATACATGGTATTACTATTGTTTCCAAAGATTTAATTCATTATCTAGAAAATTATGCTGCCAAATAATATTACTGTAAGATTCAATATATATTTGTTTGTTGTTTACGTTTTGATGAGATATTAAAAGAGATTTACTAATTCCTTTTTAAATAATTTACTAATTTTCTCTTAATACATATCTTTTCATTTGCTAGACTGTTACCTCTGTCATCATCGTACAGCTTAATTAGTACACCACTTTCAGGTCGTCCATTACAGGTCAGGTAACCTTTAGCACCTGCAGCTTGTGTTCGTCCAACTAAACCACCAACTGCTCCATAGATTGATGGTATTAGAAATGTTGTCAATAGCAAAATTTGTCGTATCATAATCTTTCAGCAGAATTTCTGGTAACAAATCGGTCATAATTCAATTTTTCAACTAAATTTTCCTCTAATTAACTGATTAACTAATTTTTCATTACTTAATCAGCTAATTTTTCTTAATTAATTAATTAATTTTTTCTTAATTAACTAAATGTCTTTTAATTAGCCTATCACCTATATACAAGTAGCAAATTATTTAAGAAAAAAAATAGCAAACATTTTGTTATAATAAGCTGATAAATAAATCATCTTACATTATAATTTATTTCATTACTTAAATAAAAATATGAGCGAAAATTGCCTCGTGTTGATCTATCCAAAATTTCCAGTTTGTAAATTCCATTTGTTAATTTTAATATTTCAAAAAACTTTTAAAATATTTGTATGAATAGTACAATGAATTAATCCATCTTAATTTTATGCTCACTGTTTTTTTTTTTCATTTTTGTTTTTATTTTTGTTTTTGATAAATTAAAAATTTTCTGTCATTTTGAGTATAAAAAAAAAATTCTCATTAATGTTGTTAATTTATCAGATGAATTATAATAATTTATGTCATAATTTATTTTACATCGTTTTTCTATTAAATATTATTAACTAACTGAAACAAAAACGATTTTTTTTAATCATAATAAATAAATTTAATTTCCGATTCTTTCAACGATAATATGATTTTTGCTTATATTTTTATATTGAAATGTTAATCGAAAACAAAAAATTTTTTATTTCCTTTTTTTTTGTCTCTGTCTCACTAATTCATAATAAATTATTGATAATGAAAAGTAATTACTTATTAAATAATGTCAATAAAATTAGCTGTGCTAATAACACTTTAAGTAATTGACTAATAAGCGAATAAGAAAAATCACAAAATATATTAGTGTGGAAAACATTAGAAAGATGAAGCAATAAAGTTAAAATGATGAGAGTTTCGAAAAGATAAACGAATGCTACTAGAGCAAAAGTTTCGATCTTGTTGATTTGATAATCAATCAAAGAGCACAATTTCTAATTATACATTATTTAATCGTTTCCTTTTCGTTAACATTCAGTTTAGCTCCATATAATAGCTAAAATTAATTCGAAATTAAAGAATTATAAATTTTGAAATAATATCTAAAACTAATTAATTCATAAATAGATTTCTAAATGATCTGTGGACAAAAAAAGAAAAAAAATATGAGATTTTAAATAATATGTATAAATAAAGTAATTTATAATTAAAAAGCATCAATCAACATGTAAAATAAAATAATTTATAACTATAAGACTTTCAACAATGTGAAAAATTATAATATAATTTATATTTCCAAATGTTATTTCATGTATTTTCCTTTTTTTTTTTTGCTTATGATTAGAAAATGAAAGTTGAGGATTAGTAATGATTAAATTTAGTCTGTTTATTAAGAAATGTCTTATTATTCAAATTAAACTAATTAAATTTTTAACTAACCAAATTAAGTAATAACTGAATAAAACTTATTTGAAATTGTTTATATCTTTTTTCTTTTATTTTTGAATTTTATTTATTTGAATAAGAATGAAAGAAAAATAGCTGCGTGATTAATAATTAGTATTGTTTACATAATTTACCAAATTAAAGTTTTCAAACTAAAATTTTATTCAATTTGCAATGAAAAATAACTTAAACTATGTTTTCTTTTTTCTTTCTTTCTTTTCTTGCTCCTATTTTTTTACTCTCTCTCTCTCCTTCTGAATTATTGAAGTAAAATTATACATTAAGAAAGTTGAAGCAATAGATGATAAAAATGAGATGAAGAGAGTTGTTATTTAACAAATGTTATAATTTGTTTATTTGTTAAAATTATTTTTCATTAAATTTTTCGAAAATTTGCTTGCTAATATCGTAAACATGTAAATATTAAAAAAAACTGAGCTAATAAAATAATATTTGTTAAATAATTAACATTAGATTAGGGCAAAATTAATTATATCATTTTTTTTTTCCTTTTTTTTTTAAAATATTTTGTAGCTAAAAAAAGTTGTTTTCTTTCTTTTTTTCGTATTTCTAATTATGATTTAATTATTGACATAAAATTTTTTGCTAACTTCCACAATGTGTTGAATTTTTAAATTTTACTAAATCCGAACTAAAATGTAAATTATTTATATTTATTGTACGCTTTTTGAAATCTTTCAATAAGTTTGTAGAATAATTTAATAAAATTCATATTTAATTGTATATATGTAAAAATTCATTTTTGCATCTGTCACTAAATGTAAACAATCAAGAAAAAAAAATTAAATAAATGATATATTAAGTGATCGAAATAAGACAATTACAATAATCGGAAAGGATTGGTTAGTAAAATGCAAAAAATTTTGTGAAAAATAAGGAATAAAGTAAGAAATTTGAAGTTTTTTCAATTGTTAGTAATAAAAATTTGTGCAAAAAGTTATGACTAATATTGTTCATATATTTCAAAAATGTAATAAAAGATTGAAAATTCAACGGCATATGAATGAATTTAAAATAATAATAATAAATGTTAGAAAGTAAAATGTGATCCATTGCAATTTAAATTAATTAAAATATAATGTAAAAATTAGATAAGATTAAATTAACCAAATTAAAATTTTAAATTGATCAATGAACATGAAAAAGCAAATCGATTAAATGATTGATTAATTAAAGAATTAAAAAATGATTAAAGAAATTAAGGTTTACTCAATTCTATCGTTTAGTAACAAAAACACGAAAACAAAGGAAAAAATCTTTTTTTTTTGCACATTAAACAAAACATTTTCAAAAAATTCAACAAAAAGAGAAATTTCATATGACAAAAATTAAAAAATGCTATAAACAATTTACAGATTTCAAAAGAAAAATTTTAGTGGATACAGTCACGTGTTTCACCTTTGAATTTACCCGAAAGTTCAATATTTCCAGCATTATAGAATTGTTTTGGTGCTTTTCCACTGCTAATATAGCTATCAGGTATCATTATGCTAATTTTACGTTGGCAAGGCTGAAAAAAAATGAAACTTAATATTACAAAGTAAAAAAATAGGTATAAAACATTTAATGTTATAAATTCCATAATATTATATAAAATAAATTAGAACTAAACAATTGTTTTTTGTTATGTAATTCATTAATTTATCATGCAGAAATTATAAGTAATCGTTAAAAAATTTAACAATTAATTAATGAATGAAGATAAATAGTTAAAACTTTGTTGCTTATTTGAAAAAATTTAATTTCTTTTTTTTTTGCAAAATTTTTCAATTTTAGTGTAATTTATTTTGATTGCATAGCAATTTAATTTGAATACAAAACATTGAACTGATTCGAAAACTTTTAAGTTAAACGCTAATTTAAATAAAGTATGAATAAAAAAAAAATAAAATAAAACACTACATCATAGTAAAAACAAACAGTGAAAGTATCAGAAGACATTTTTTAGACGGATTAATCTGCAATTTATAAATTAAATTTTGATTAAACTCTTACGATTATTGAATAAAGATAAGAAAGGCATAAAATTTTAACTTATAATCGAAGTAAGCTTAAGCTTCAATATTAAAATTTCATTCTCCACTAATGATTAATAAACTACCATAAAAAATTGCAATTTCCTCTCCAAAAAACAAAAAAAAAAAAAATTAATGTAATAACGTGGGAAAAAACTTTTTTTCTTTGAGAAGATTGATAAAATAAAAAATATGAAAATTTGATGAAAATAAAATTTGAGTACAAAAATTGACAAAACTTAAAATTTAATAGAAAAAAAGGAAGCAAATGATGAAAAGAAAAATAAATAGTACGAAATAATAATAATAAAGAAATAAAAATGCAAGCATATCTATATTTATTTACAAAAATATTATCAAATCCAATCTATCTGACCAAATATCATTTCTGCTTTTTTGAAAATATTTGAGGTAAACCTAAAAATATAAAAAAAAATTTAAAAATAAATGAAACTATTACAATCCAATTATCGTTACAATCATGATAAATGTTAAGTTTCGGATCAATTGTTGACACTTCATTGGTATAACCCGAAATACGAAAATGACCTTTACTATCTGTCCTACCTTTTGCCATTAGATCGTCTGTATCAGTACCTACAAATATCAGTGCTAGCAAGCAAATGATTATTAATTTAACATCCATACTTCTTAATCATTCATACAGTTCATGCCAAACATTTTACTTATTTATCATGATTTGAAATGTATAACAAGAATGAAAATGAAAAAATCAATTATTAAATCATTGATCAAATCATAATTTAAGAAAATAAACGAAGATAATTCTATTGGTAATCCATACATTTCAATTACTGGTAAAATCAAAAAATTTTAATATCTAAAATTTAAGTATCAATCGAAACAAATTTATGTGCATGCAATACTGAAATATTCTTCATACAATAAATTAATCTCAAAAAATAAATTCATTCAAACAATAGTGAATTTTTCTTAACATTTAATAAATATTGTAGAAAACAAAGAAATAAAAATTCATTTATAATTTTTCATTATTAATATTTCTGGTGATTTTATTAATGTAAACAAAATATAAATTGCTAAGCCATACAAATGCTCCATCAAATCTTTTATATTTATTTTGGTAACAAATTAATTGAGCAAATTAAATTCCTCAAAACTTCCATTTTATGGTAAATAAAATCTCCCATTTTCATTCTTTTTTTTCTTCCGTAATAAATAATAATCATAATCAAGTTGACCAATATGACGAAAAATTGATTATTCTTATTATCGTTATCATTTTTATTAATTCTACAGTCGTAAGCAAAGATAGATAAAAGATACTGTGCCATAAAATCAAATTAATAGAATATCTAAAAGCATTATAAACAAATTTAATGCTATGAAGAAATTTCATACTTAAATAACGAAAAAAGATGAAAAGTTAGAAGCTGGAAAAGATTGATAACAAACCTCTATCATCATCATATAATTTGATAAGAACACCACCAAGTGGTTTTCCATCACACATAAGGGTACCTTCAATACCCGCACTTTGCGTTCGACCGATTAAGCCACCAAGCGCACCAAATATACCGGGGAAATTGAAAAGAAATAGTAATAAAACATGCAACATCTTTCTACAATAATAATAATATATAAATCAAAGGAATTAATTTTTTCCAACTTATAATGGCTTGCCGCGATTAATATTATTATTATTATTATTATGAAGCCTCAAACAAGGATGGATGAAAGATATTGTGTTATAAAATCAAATTAATAGAAAATGAAAGTATTATGAACAAATTTTATGCCATGAAATATTAAAATATAAGTATTAGTGTTAAGATATACTATTTGATGTTAAGGAGTTACAAAAAATTTTTTATTGGAATTTGTATTATTTTTTTTTTGCAAATAATGAAAAATTCGTTAAACTAAGCTCACTTGTAAACCAGAAATATTTATTGAAAAGAGAGGAAAACAGGAGTTGGAAGAGTAGAATGGTGACGAAGAGGAAAGGTGAAAGAATTTCAAAAGTAACGAATAATTGTAAATAAGGAAGATTCATCATTGATCATTTAATGGTGATGGTGACAGGATGAAAATATTTGATGAAATTAATGGTTAACCGATCGATTAGTCGTGCAAGAATAGATTGTGCATTAAAAACAGTTGAAATGATAGTTTAAAATAAACTACGAAATGGGGGAAAATATTTTAAATGGATTATATATAATTATGCATGCAATTATTTGTTTTTGCTGTTACTTTAAAATTGTTCCCATTTTTTTTGAGGAATGGATCAATCTATGATTCATTTTTGCTTTGTGAAAAATTTGAAATTATTTTAAAATTTAATTGGTGAACTTTGACATTTTTTTAAATAAATGACTCTGATAGCATATAATATGAATAGAATGGTTGATTGAAGTAAATTTCTATGCTAGTAATTATAATTATACTAGTAATTATAATATTACTTTTACAATATGTATTACCAATATTTTTTGTTAAATTATGTATATTAATAATGTAATTTTATAATATTGGTTACAATTTGGGGTTAATTTTTTTTTTAAGATTTAGGCAGTAATTATAACTTTCTTTTCTTTTATATTTCTTTTTTCTTTTGAACCTTTGGTATTAAAAGTTCTTCTCATATGAATCATTGGTAATTTTTTTCAAGAGAAGCAAAAAATTAAAAAGAAAAAAAGGAAAGAAAATTCGAAATGATTTATTTGTTATCACAACAATATTATATGGTGACGTTAAAATAATACGCACAGTAAACAAAAAGGTCAAAGTATAAAGGTATTATATAAATATTTATTGAAACAGTGACATACTGATATTACTTCGATGTAATAAAGCATTTTGATTATTGATATTCATATGTTGAAAATGATAGTTTATCCTCATCAAATGAACTAATCAAATTTTGGTGGTCAAATTTTTACCCTCAAAATTTCAAAAAAAAAAAAAAGAAAAAACTCATGAAGGATTAAAAAAATTGAATAAGAACGAATAAACGTATCAATTGATCAATATGAAACTTTCATCACTCCTAGAATATTATTTAATTAATTTATAAATCTAACTTATATTTCTTCTCTCATTTACCAATTAATAATAAAAAAAAATGTTAGCATTAAACTATTAATATTAATTCTCAAAAATGAAAATTAGTAAGAAAGAAAAATAATGCTTCAATCTTTTACTTTTATAACATTTCATGTAATCAATCGTATTATTCCATACAAGTGAGAAAACATTTTGATCAACTAAGATAATCATTAAATGTACATGTTGAGACTTTCTATTACTCCCTTTGTCAACTATTTCAAATATTGAATAATTTCAATTATTCTAAAAAAAAATAAATAATTCTGCAAATAATTTTATATCGGAAGACATAATTTTTTCTTTTCTTTTTTTAAAATTCTTAATTAAAAAAAGTAATTATTTTTAATAATTATTAATTTATGTTCTGTATCTTCTTGTTATTAATCATTAAAAAAACTTTTATTATTATTATTTGTTTCAGAAATTCTAATCAGAGATAGACTATTGATGACAGCTTTTTTTTAAATTAAATTCTATCAAATGAAAAAAATTAATAAGATATATGCTGCAAATTTTATATTCAATATTTTATTCCCGTAGAAAGGTACATTTCAGTTCAGTAACAGAGATGAAAGTATTAATGAAATTTATTAATTAATCTCTTTCATTATTTTATTTTTAAGTATTTTTTCTTATGAATCATTAATCTACGATTTATTTTAAATGTTATAAAAGATTTTTTTATTTAAAATATTATTTTAATAGCGCACGATTGTCGCAGAATACGAATTCTTTCCTTTCTTTAACTTTAAACTAATTCAATATTATAGATAATATCATTCATTATTGTTTCTAATATTTCTTGAATTAAATTAGGTCAATTATTTTAGAAAATATAAATTATAAGAAGGTGAAATGCCATCAAAATGCTAAACAAAATTATATATGTGTGTTTATTTTTTTGTTGTTTAGAAATATAACCAAATTTAATAAAGTAGTAATTATGATAATATTAATAATTGCTACAATATATGTTGGAGTAATTACTGTAAAAAGTATATTTGTTCATTATTTTGTGTGGTGCAAATCTATTGTTATAAAATAAAAAATAATATTCAAATTATCAAATATAATTATTGAATTATTGATTGAAATATTAACAAGTAAAAATACGAATTTCAAATTTGTACTCAATTTAAATAGCAAATTAGAAATGAAAGTCAATGTTGATAAAGATTTAAATCGATTTTGAATAAGAACCATTTAATATAATTTTTAATTATCTAAGGATTGTTTCAATCTTCAAAAGGATAAATTATTTTTTGAGCAAAAAATTTATTCAATTTTGTTTGATAAAATGAATAAAATAATATTTTGAAGCATTTCATATACACTGTTTAATTATTTCACAAAATGTTTTAAATAGTAAATGCATTGTTATTTCTTCATTTGATCTTTTTTTTCGCCTAAAAAAAGAAAATCTTAGAAATTAGTTACACAATTATGATAAAATGTTGTAATAAAATTTACATTCATAGTAAATTTCAAATGAACTTTAAAATAATAATACAGAAATCATTGTTGAATACAAATTTAATTATTTGGCTATTGAACAGGGTTATAAATAAGAGTACTAATGAAAAGAGAAAATTTTATTTCAATTAATATCATTAAAAATTTTAATAACTTATAAAGTAAATATTGATTTTATTAATTCTAACTAATTCAAATATAATCTATTTCTACACATTAAATGCTTTGTTAATCATTTGCCGAAAAGTATACGGCGCCAAATAGTCCATCAATTAATATTTATCTGCTAAATGCATTCTTCTCAACCGTTTTATACTATCGAATTAAGCCATAGCAAAATTATAAGAATACAAGTAGGCTGTTTTGATTAATTCAGAATCAAAAAAGAAAAAACAAACATAGATTCACTCAAATTAAACAAAAAATATAAATTAAATAAAATTAAAATAAAATACAAAAGTATTGATCCTTTTTTCCTCTTTTTGTAAACAATTACAATTTCATTCAATAATACAAAGAATTGCTAAAGTTAGCAAATTGAATTTAAAACTATTTTTCATCTTAAATATTTCAAATATTCAAGAGCTATTTAAATGTTAATATGTGCTTATAATTTTATTTAAAAAATTACAAACCATATTTCATCCTATTGCAATGCTCAATTCGTATTTTCTCCAGGAATTCCTTGGTTAAAACCAATCTTACAGGTTTACTTTTAGCTGACTGATATAGTTTGTAGTGTCGAATTTCGATTATAGCCATAACGCAGCTAACAACAATTGCCAGTACCGCTCCCAGAATCAATACTGCATCAATCTGAAGTATGAAATTTCGATTTTCATGCTGCAGTCTAAACTACCTTAAAGCAAATAAACAACCAATGAACTATTATCAGTTATCAGTAGGAAATTCAGACTAAATTGATCAATATAACATTTTTTATTACCATCACTGTATCATTTTCTAATTAAAAGTTAATTTTAAAATTAATAATTTAAAAGTGCACATTTATTCATACCTTACTAAATATATTAAATAATATATGCTGTTGCTCATCGTCAGAAAGCACTGCAAAATATAAACTTGCAATTATCATCTATTAATTCATAAAAAGTAAATTTTTGAATGATTAAAAGTTAATTTTGAAATTTATTTCAGTTAAAAACTGCACATTTACTCTTATCATATCAAATACATTTGACATCATTTTTATTACTATCACTATATCATTTTTCAATTAAAAGTTAAGTTAATTTTAAAATATATAAATTAAAAGTGCATATTTACTCATACCTTATTAGATTACTCAGATATATAAAATAATACATGACACTACTCGTTATTAGAAAAGTAAAAAATGAAAATGAAATAGTAAAATAAAAAAAGATCACTGCTAATTATATTACTATTCTTTCAAATGTTAAATGAAACTATACAAGAAGCTATTAATTAAAAAATTAAAAAATAGTGCTTTTTTTCTGAAATTTTAAAAACATTTCACCTAATATAAATGATTATAAATAAGTTAAATTTTATTTTAACCCTATGATTTCATTTAATTATTCATAATAAAGTAGAAAAAAATGAAAAATAATATAACAGAATCAAAGATAATTATATTATTACTACTCTTTCATTAATCCATAAAATCAGAAACAGAGATCCTTTCAGGAAATGTACCCTTTTTGAGTATTTGTCATAAATTTTGCTAACATAATTAATAACATACAGTGTTTTGCAACGGTTTCGATTTGTTTTATTGTATCATTGACACTTTCAGCAAATGTTATTGTCTCATTGGACATTGCTTTTATCACTGTTTCTTCCGGTTTTGTTAAATATTCAATTTCTTTTTCACCCATTTCAGATTCTTCTAGAAAAAAAAAAAAAAACAAATATATAAATTTCAAATTTACAATTATTCCTCATTTTGCTCCTTGATATTTTAGCAATGTTATTATTGCCCATCAATTAAAAATTTAGTTAAAAAAACGAATGACATACTACTCAAATACTCCTTAACTATTATTCGATCAGGTTGACAACTTTCTTGAATTAATACTAAAGCAAGATCTTCGTCATCTGAATAACAAAAAGTTTAGTTTTTCTGGAATGCTTTGTATCAATTTATTATCTATTTATCAGTTCATGTAATAAGACATCAAAGAAGAAGACATGTAAAATAATCCAATCATGATAATCTACTGCAGTTACCCATCAATGATCAACCATCCATGATCACTTATTATAGTTATTTAATCATAATAATCGATTGCAATAACCTGAACAATTTGTAATCTACAAATCGATTATCAGAAATATATGTATTTTGATGTCCATCAAACAGTCTTTTTTTTTACTTAATTAATTTGCTTATCATATTATTAATGTTTTGAAAAATTAAATATCCAAATTTGTTTTTAACTCTCTCATTTTTCTTTTTCTTTATCAACTATGCAAATTAGCATTCAATTCATCATTCATTCTAAAACATATCAATAATACCATGAAAATTGGGAAATTTAACTTCTCCACCATTCCATTTAATTTCAACCTTCCAATTACTAATACTAAATGACCATTTAAAATGATTTCCATATTGATAATTGCCAAGAATATATCGACTTTCGTCTGAATGCAGAGTGTAAATTTTAAATTTGAAATTATGCTATCGATTAAATTGCTTCTACTATAATTTTTATTGAATTTTATAACAAATAAAATAAGATGAAAATGACATAAAAAAAAACTGAAAATTTTAAGTTTGAGAAAAAAAACTATCGTTTTTTCAAATTATATATCAATTTTTGCCTAAAAAATTAATATTCAATAAATGATAATTATCATGAATATATCGTTTTTTGATATATTAACAAATTAATAGCATTTTGACCAAAAATTTAGACTAATTTAAAACTTTTTTATCCATTAAAATAAAATATACTTTTTATTAAGAAAATATATATAAGTTAAATATGTCCTATTAATTTAATACTATTATTTTTAAATAGTACAAACTTTGATTATAGAATGTTGCCCACCATATACCACTTTTCTTATCTAAATTAAATTTGTACGAATATTTTCGTTCTCGATTGATTACCGCTATAAAAGGCCTAAATAGTAATTCGATGAATATTATTCTTTATCTTTTACATTATATCAAAATAAATTATAGCAATTAATGGCAAGTTATGATATGATTTCATTTGACAGTCTTAATTCAATTCATAAATAAATTAATTTAATAAGCTCAAAAAGCGGTTTAAAAAGAAAATTTTTTGCAAAGCTAATAATTCATTGTGCGAATGAAATTTTTACCATTTCACATTTTGATATATTTCCATAATTGTTGAAAACTTTTGACAGATAACAAAATTACCTTGTAAATTAAATCTGAATTATTCATTTTAATCTTTTCAACTCAAAATTTCAAACCCCTTGCACTGTTTAGCATCATACGGATAGAAAATTTCAATTTCGATATTATAAAATACATTCGAATTTAACTGTAGCAATTCATTTTGCATACCCAACAATTGCTTGTAATATTTAAACTGCAAAAGAAAATGCATGCAAAATTTTAGATGAAGCAAGTCAATTTTTATTTTTGAAATGTTTAAAAATGTTAATTATTTATATTTTAAACAGTTTTGATGAATATTTCTACAAATATTCGTGTATGCTCGAAATATGAAATTTTATTCAAACCAATTAATTTTTTTTTTTGTTTTAATTTAAAATATTTCCAATTTTAATTAATCAAAATATGAACACATTTTTCTTTTCATCATTTCTCAAATAATTTCAGATTATTTACATTAAATTCATCTATTGAATGTAATTAATAAATTAATTAAATGATAGTTTAAACGAAAGTCAATTTTATTAGCTGGCATATATACTGCAGTGTTTAGAAAAAGACTGTAATTAAAACGTGTAAAACGCGTTAGCATTTCACGCAAGTATTATTTCAAAGGATATTTTCATGCAATTTGATTTATGACAAACTTTTTTTTTTTAAAAAAAGGAAATTAATATTTCTTACCACTGCAAATGATTCTTTTACGATAATCAGTGAAATGATTACAAAAATTATTAGGCACATTCTGTAAACATAAAATTGATTTTCGTCGGATGTATATATTTTAAAATTGTATATTTTGTATATTGTATATATGTATATTGTATATTTTAAATTTATTTAAAATCATATATTACTATCACGTTAGCTGTCAAATAATGGAATAATGATTGTAAATTCGAGAAACAAATTTGGCATTCCAGAAGTCAATATTCAATCATTTAATAATGAGATCAACATGAGACTGTCACGTATTACTTGTAGATAACATAGTTAAGAGAAAAAGGTGATTTTTTAAATCATTTTTTAAATTTGTGCCTCACAGAGAAGACAAACACTTATAAAAACTTAAAATTTCCAAAATTTTTAATTTTTAAAACTTTTATAGATAACTTTTAAATTTCATTCATATTTATAAAATCTGATAATTTAATTTTTTTATTTTGAACAATTCCTAATTCATAACTTTCTTCCTTTTCCACAATTTTATTTTTGCTTTTTTTTTAAAAAAATTTTGATTGATTAATTTTTTTTTTTGCAATCTTCCCAGCAAAACTTACTCGCTATGCATGCTCCATTTAATTTAACAAAGATCCCATCTTTTCACAATTTTAACAATGATAACAGCAACCGTCTTTGATTACTATAAACTTTATCAATGCATTTCTTTTAGGAAATTTTTATTAAGTTAAAAATTTATTGCTTTTTTCTTTTGAATCTCATTGAACCTTTTTCTTTTCCTTCTTTTTTTGGTCTGAAATTTCAATATTTGTGATTAAACTTGACAAAAACATTTTATTTACAAAACTAACCAATCCATTAGTGACATCTGTCATTGTTTATGAGAAATGATGATATAAATAGAAAATTTTCCATTTCATTAAATGATGTGAAAGAATGAATGAAATTAGTTAATGTTCAAATGATATTCATTTCTGTTCCAAACTATTTATCCTTTCTACTTGAAAATAAATTTGTGATATGTGACATGACTACTCTTCGTATGAATGCATGAGTTCGATTTAATTTAATTTAATTTGCCAGCTTTTTGGTTTAATTTAGTACTGTTTTTTTTTTTCTTTTCTTTTACTATTATATGTTATCGTTTATTTCTTGAACTTATCTAGAAGATAAGAAACAGAAGCTGAAAAAGTTTGAAGAGCCAAAAAAGGTGATTAGAAGGATCTGATGTTATCGCTAATCTTGAGTGTCCATTATCGAGAAATCATATGACTGCAGATGTTATGATTAATAAAACATTTATTGTTTGTATAATTTTCAAATAATAGCAACATTTCATAATTACGTGAATTTATAATTTCTGCTGGTTAACATTTAGAAATGAATTTTAATTAATTCTATCAACTAAATTCGAACTATAATGTTTTTCATCTTAAAAAAAAAAAAACCTATATTGGTGAATAATAATAATAATGCACTCAATTTAATTTAAATATTAAAAAATATGTAATCTCTTGACTACTTTCTTGACTCTGAAATAAATGAATAAAACGATGAAATGGAAAATATAAGTAAAAAAAGTTGTCTTTTTTCTGTTTTTCCATTTTCTTTATAAATTACAAGAAAATATCTTTCCTCTATTATCACAGTTTACAAATTCGCATACTTTGCACTTTTCAATTGTGATTAATCCTAGTTGCATAGCATTTCTGATAAATATATATCAAAATTTGATTATCATGGCATAAAGGTTTTAAATAATAATAGCTATTATCGTAATAATAAATTATAAAAAACTAAAATATGCTGCATTTCAAGAAACCTTAAATGAAAAATAATTTACAGTTATAAGCTTAAAAATTTATTTTCTTTTATCTATTATTTGGTTTATTTTTTTCAATTTATTTATTGTAATCAGCTGATTGGTTTTGAATGACTTACGTAACAAAAATAAATTGCTATACAAATTAAATTAGCTGAATAATAAAGTTAACTTTATAGTTAACTTCATTAAGCACAGAAATGAGCAAATATTCAAATATTTGGTCACATGGATGAAAATTAATGACCATAATTGGATATTATTATTTGCAGTTTCTATTAGCAGTTGCAAAAGACATAGAAAATCTTATTTTTCAGCTAAATTATTAACATTTCTTAAAATAAACTTCTATCGTCCACTGCATTTTACAGCTAATATTTCAACTATTTAAATTTCTTTCTTTTCCAACTCATTTGAAGTTTTAATAAAAGTAAAGATTAACGTTTAACAAAATGTTAACTTATTCTTACTATATTACTGTATTATTTCTAATACTATCATTATTCTGTCAAAAATGCGAAATGATCAATATGATTGACATAAGAGATGAAAATCATAAAACTATAAAATACCTGGCCATTCTACTTTTTACACTTTTCTTGCTTTACGGTATTATTAGCAATACACTGATGACAACCGTATTATTCTGTAAACGACAAGACAGTCATTACGGTCGGGAATTTATACTTATCACTTTACAATTGATTATTTCTCATTTTATGGCTTTTCTCCCACAAATAGTTGTTGTACTACCTGAATTATTATATGCTAAAAATAATTCGTATAGTAAGTTACTTTTATTTACATTTTTTATTGTTTGCTGTTAGTATTAGCTAAATACTAATTGAAATAATCCATTAAAAATTTTTTTCCTTCTCAACTCATGGTACTGCAAAAAAAGAAAAAAAAATGAGATTATTGTTAACAAAATGTGATAAATATGCTTGATTTTTTATTTTGATCATAAAATACTTTAATGACACTATTTTATAACTAACAGTCAATAGCAATCTTTTCTGTATTTTTCTCGAATATCAAACACTTAAACTTTTTCTAGAGATTGAACGTAACAATCGAAATGATCTAAACCTATATCAAATTTTTCTAATAGCAAATTCAATTCAAAAATTTGAATTGAAAATTTCAGTGAATTCATTCTATAACACTTTTAAGGAATGTACACTTCATTATATCAAACTTTTTTGAGGAATGTTGAGGTGAGAAGTGACAATTTCATTGTAACATGCAAAAAAAAATTTTTTGAATAACTAATTTGCTTATGTTTTATTTAGCAAACGAAACAACATGGATCAATCATGCATTCTCAACTTTCGATACTTTTTCATTTTTTTCCATTCTTCATTTTTCATTCCTGTTGACGCTAAATCGCTTTGTGGCGCTAATTTCACCAAAATATTATCATTTTTTTGAGTCAGCAAAGCTACATTCTTTAATCGTTTTTCTATGGTTGTCACTTTTAGGTATGAATTATTGATATCATTCAAGCAATAACCAAATGATTTTTTTTTTTCCAAACAATAATTTCTAATTAATATCTTCTATAATTGATACTTTTTAGGTATAATTTAGCATTTGTTTAAAAAAGATTTACTATATATCATTAACAAATATTCAAAGTAAGGAACCCACCCGGAATTTCTACTTAGGCACTAAATTTTGTAATTCACACTGGATTTCTTAATTCTTGATCATTTTATTAACATCAAATATTAATTTGTAGTGTTCATATCTATCGATTTTTATTATTGTACCAGAAGTTTCTTTGTTTGGAATTTGAGTTGGGAAACGAATTGTTTACAGTCAAACGTAATAAGCAAAATTTGGTGGAGGTTAGGTCACCTTTCAATTCTAATTTTTTCTTTATTTTTAACATGATGTTATTTTTAAGCTTTAAATAACTAAACTACAAATTTTCATTTCATGATTTTTAATCGTTTAAGAAATTTAATTTAATGAAAGATTTCCCTGTTATAGGAGCTAATGTCTTTTCATTTGTTCATTGTCATAGTAAAATTCAATTGACTTTAAAATGTTAAAACAATGATTAACTGCTTAATACTTTAGGATGACATATCTTTGGGCACTATTCATACCTGGTGCAATGTTTATCATGTATATTGTGATATTCTGCAGTATACGTCACAAACGTCATTTTGCAACAAATAATAATCAAATTCAAAGTTTGTAATACTAAATTATTTCTTCCTTATATAGTAAAAATAATTAAAAAATTTATTGACAATTTCAAAGTCAGTTATAAAAATTTGTTGATTTACTCAATTTTTTTTTGAGTTTTTTTCATTAATCATAACTTAATCTATCATTAATTACCAAAAATATTCAGGAATTGCGAAAAGATGCATCATCAGACATAAAACAAATGCAGTAAAAATTCATCATTTCGAATGGTCAATGCTAATTCAGGCTGCATGGAACTGTGGAATATTAGAAATTGGAATTATTACTTTTAACTTTTTATCACCAATGTTGATTAAAATTTTCGGCGAAAAGGCTAACATACCATCAAAAATTTTCATAAATTGTTATTTTATTTTCATCTGTTCCGTAACACCTACTGTTCATTTTATTTATAATAAGAGAGCACGTGACATCATAAAAACATTATTTCTAGCATTGAATATAGTTGACAATTGGGCCGTTAAAAAAATAAGGCCACTAATTAAATTATTAAGAAATAAAGAATAATGTGACAAGTAGTAATAGCAGTAGCAGTAATAGTAGTGGTAACCCGAAGTATAAAATATTATATCTAGGAATACTTTTTTGGCAATATTTCTGATGAAATTTGTTATAGATGTAACTTGAAATTATTTGTGAAAAAAAAATGAAATATTTATTATTTGTAAGTATTGTACTTATTATTATTGATCCTTTAAATTAAGTAAAATTATTTTTGGAAAAAATTTTCACACATTTATTTATATATACCACAACAAATTTCCATATATTAAATAGAGACTAAATTAATAAAATTGATTGAATAAAATTGATATCATAAATTTAAATATGTTTTACAACTTTAATTTGTTTCCTACGTTGATACTATCTATTCCAGCATCTCTAGCAACAATTTCATTAGCTCCATAAGAAATATCATGCTCTTAAGAACATAAAAAAGCATAGATTAGCAAAAGTTCAATAATATTTATGAAATAACACTGTAAGTTAATTTAGGCTTTAATTTGATCTATGAGTGATTTCGTATATAAAAATAATCAGATGAAATGTCATTAGACTGATGTGACCAGTTTGATTCAAAATATTAACACAAAAAAAAATTAAATATCCTTAAAAGTAATTATTAAAAAAGAATCAAAAAAAAATTTTTTTAAATTGATATGAAAGGAATACTTTGTTGTTCATATATTTGAAAAACATTATTTACCTAAAAGTATTATATTTATTATTTATTCATAAATGAGTAAAATTGTTTTGGGAAATATGTCTCCTGCAGAAGTATATTATACATTGTATGGAGACAATTCAGAATTCTACGTTGGAAAGAAATGGTCCGGAATTACAGAGACAATTCTGAGATGGTTCGGAATTTTAAAAAATTTAGAATTTCCTTGTTATTTGTTCAATTCAACTTTTCCTTTTAAGCTGAGCGGATTAAAACTGCTAGTTATGCTGAAATTTAGTCATTGTCACACTTTATAGGTCTCTTTTCCATGCTTAATAAAATTGATTAATTTGTCAATGAGCTAATTTATGAATTTTCTAGCTTCATTTTTCATTTTTTTTCCCGAATTCATCGTTGTTTCCAAACAGTTTTGCATGTTATTTCTCTCAAGTCATTTGAGCAGGCAGTGATATTCCAGTTCATACGAAATGTCCATTTTTTCTTGTATCAGTTTATAGCGCCAATCTTTAGTTTTCACAATTATATTCATTGAGCTTTTATTTCATGGCGCTTTTTTCCCATCTGTTCAAAAGTGGCTCAGTTTGCTTCAGTTTTATAACTGAGGCTGGATAATGAAGGAAATTTTGACATAATCAATTGATCCTTAACCATTGATCGAAATTATTGTCCGATTAAATGATGCTGATAAAAGATACTATGCATTTTTCTTGTATTCCAGCAGTTATTTCAAATTAATCAGCGCCATTAATAAAATAGGCTATGTTATGAGCCGTGTTGAAAGCACTGAAAATGAATATTTAAAAATCAGAGGTGTTTAACAGAAATTCTTTGAAAAATAACTGTGAAAAAGCTATATGGTATATTAATACTACAAATTTTGTTGTTTTTGAAAAGAAAGTTATTTTAAGTCAGTCAGAGAGAAAATGCAGCGATGATAGATGAAGTGCTTGGATTTAAAATTGAAATTAGTTGAAATTGAAAAAATGACATTTGAGTTATATTATCTTTATGAAAAACGACCGTTTATTATTAGCATAATAAAAATTACGTTTACATATTGAATAAATATCTCTGAACTTAAGATTATATGAATCCAATCCTGGAATTGTTGAAAAATGTTGAAAACTAGTTTGGTTTGCAGAAAACAAAGTTAAAAACTCAATTGTACAAAAAAAAAAAAAAAAAAAAGAGAAAAATTACTTTATTTTTATATGAGAAAATTCTTGCAAATATTTCTTAATTTTATAAATTGTGGATGTAAACTTTGAGAAATAATTTAAAATTAATTACAGCTCGTCCTATCAATTTCATATTTTTTCATGAAACTTAAACAATTAGCTTTTACATCACAAATAGCCATCCCCTAATTAATTAATCCTCATCAAAAGTTGACTTAAATGATATTACAATTTTTAATTCATCGTTTAAAAGCATTTAATAATTTAACCATTAAATAGAATTTCAATGTCAGGATTGAACAGATTCAGTGAAAGAGTGCTCGTCTCCCAAGGCTTAACAGCCATGTACTTTTTTAACATTTCATCGACACCACCTTCATTGCATTTATCTTCATGACATGCGCAAATTCGCCAATGATTATTTGGTATCGCACTTGCGAGACACATTTCAAACTATAAATTAATTTGTGATTTAATATTAATAATGAATCTATCGCTTCGGAAATAAGAATTCCTTCAAAATACTTTATGTGCTTCAATTTCCTTTTATTTTACATTGATTAATTGCGAGTAGTTTGTTTTTATATTACCTCACAGTACTCGGTGATTTTTTCATCACTGAATTGTCCTATAAAAGGTAAACGATCAATTGGATGAACTAGAATGCCCGCCTGTTGCCGTACGAATGATTGAAAATCATTTTGACAACCACCTGCTTCAACGATAAATTTCCCTGACTGATCTGAACATATGGATTTAATATGTTATTCTAAAAATGATGAACTGACAATAAATTTTCATTGTTGAAGTTGAAGTATGGATGTTTCCCAGCAATTTTAATATGAATTTTAAATTCGCATGTCATGAGGATAAATACGGTGGATGAAAAAAAAAGAAAAAAAAAGTGTCATGTTTAAAATTCTTGACTTGAATAATTTCAGATTAATTTGAATTTTCCTTATCAGATTTATATCTAAGTTCTTTTACAAATTTAGCTAGTTTTAAAATTAGCTAATTTAGCTAGTTTTATTCAAAAGCTTTGTTTTAGTCTATGCTAATTTGAGCTAATTCTTAGTACCGCATGTAAAATGCTTCTTTACTTTTCCATGGTTCTAATTTTAAAGGTAAATTCGAAAATAAACCAAAATACCTATAGTAATAGCCGAAAAACAACAACTATTGCCGATCGTGCATTCATCATAATCCCATTTTCTGGTTGTTCCGTTAACTTTTCGATAAACCAAACAGTCGTTTGTAAAGTCTATTGGCTTCGAAGGCAGATTTCGCAGTGAACCAAATTGTATTTTAAACAGTGTCAACACTAAAATTGAATATTACAATTTCTAAAATTAAGGACTCATAAAAAAAACCTTTATAATTTAATTTATGCAGTAAATCCATGAGATCACAAAGATTATCTTAAGTAATCGTTTACTAATAGTCAATAATCTATTATATTTTCATTTTGACTTCAGAAAAAAATCTTTAAGGATAAAGATAATAATTAATGATAGTAATAAAATAATAATAAATAATAATAATGAACCTATAATTATTGCAAAGTTCATTGTGTTCGTTTCTACAACTCTTTTCAAATTTCAAGCAGTCTATTATCGATAGCGCTTAATTAAAACTGTCCTGCAATTTCGATTTGATCTCGTATAGCAGTTACAATGAAGAAATCAGTAAACAGTAAATTAAAAGTAGCGATTGAGTAAGAGTTGCAAACATGAAGCGAATATGTAGGTTAATCAATTCGTTGAATTTAACGCTTAAATTCAACAATTTAAATTTAAAAAATAATAAAATTTCAGATACAATTAGCATTTGTAGTATTTTATCAAAGTTATAGTTTTGAAGATGAGTTAAAAATCAAAACGAAGTGAAAAGAAACCTATGTTGCATATTTCACTACCGTAGTAAAACAGCAACAATAGAATTAAATTAAACCTTTACAAGAGTTTGGTGTTAAAAAGATGGATGTTGAAAATTGATTTTTAACTTTAGCAGATCATTGGTTGTGAAAAATTTAAATAACATCAGAAGACATTTTAGGATAAAGCAACTATTTGAAAGTATATGCAAAAGGTATAAATGATTGGCATCGAAGCAAGAAAATAGAAGGAAGTACAATTTGATGAGGTCATCTTATGCACAGAGGATGTCCATCAGATTGCATAATTTATTAGCTCATTTGTTTTATGCAATCTCCCAATTTATGACATCAATTTATATATATATATTCCTCTTAGTTCACATAGCTATGCTTAAAATTTTATAAAAAATTAATGTTGTTAAAAATTTCGAATATGTTTCCGTTACTTTTTAATTTCTCGCTATTCTACTGATTTTTAGTACAAAGAAAAAAAATACATCGTTAATTTAACTGATAATTAGTGTGATATTAGTCAATTAGTCAATAATTGTAATTTGTAATGCTTCACTGATAATATGGAAAATATAAAATTAATGTTCAATTAACAGCACTTATTATCATGTGGAGAGTAATTAATGAAAACCAATCCGAATAACTAATGACGACTTTAATCTACGATCAGAGTTCAAATGAAAAAGAGCAAGCATCGATAATACAACTTAATAATAGTGTCTTTTTCAGATTATTTTTCTACATGAAGATTTGTCACTGCTCTAAGCTTTTTAATATTTCACTCTTCCCTAACTTAAATTTGAAATGTTTCTACTTTCAAGTGTTTTATTAACTGAAGAGCTGATAAGCCAGAGTGATGAGAAATGAATCAAAATATTTTTAAAAATGCATGTAGGAAAGAATTTTCATCCAATCACTTTGTCGTCACATTGGTGAAGCTATAACGTAGTGAAAAAAGACTATTGTTCTAAGTGATTTTAATCCACTTTGTAACCTTAACACCCATAAAATCCCTCCCAATTTCTTCCTTTTGCTTGTATCTTTAAATATTTTATAATTAAGTTACATTTGTGTGTTAGATATCAATTCATTATTGTAATGTTGTATAATATTTAATGTTATCTGTGGTTTAATTACCCAAATTTGGGGTTTGAATAATAAAGTATTTCACGAAAACTCTCACAGTACACGTACACAGAATAGAACCAGTACAGATTCGAGAATCTACCAGTATCGAAGACAAAGAAGTCAACGATATGATCTATCAAGAAAGGGAAAACTACTTTGTTTCACAAGCAAACAGAGCAGTAAGAAAGAAATTCTAAATTTGTTTTTACTCAAATACGCTTAACATTTTGCTTCTTTTCTCATCTATGGCAATAAAAGCATTATTAACCACAGATTTTCGGAAGTATTTAAATTTAATTTTTCTTTTCTAAACTAATTAATTACGGGACACAAATGTGAATTGTATAATAATTTACAAACCAATCAAGCACAATTCCTCCAAGCAAAGCAATCAATTTGATGGATTTAATGGTTTAGATTGTTAAAAATTTTGCTTTATTTAAATTTTCTTCTTAGTTTTGCTTTTAAATTTCTTTTTTTTTTTCAAATTTTTATTTCGATTCTGTTGATAAAATTCAGTGTCCATTTTTTTAATAAAATTTTTATGTTTCTTAAGATATCAAAATCCTTTTTTATCTTAATTTTGAAAGTTCACGTGAAATTTTCTAACCATTTGTTTTTTATTATAGAATATATAATTTTAAGCAGCAAAGATGATAAGTATTTGATACTCATCTAGAAGCAATATTCTTTTGGTCTGATTAATAATTATGCAGTAAACTACAATACTCATGTAACAGTTTTTCAAAAATTAAGTTGCGTTAATTATTATTCACAGAAGCAAAGAAAAAAATCTAAATAAAGTACTTACTTTTGTTTCTCATCATTTCAGTTCTCAATTACAAAAAGACCATTGAAGCCTAAGATTTTTATAATTCATTTGGCTAATTCTACCATTACCACTTGTTGACTTGCTGTTACCTCAAAGTTAAATCCGTGAATTGTCCAAATTAGTAATTTCTTCATATAAGAATAGATGATAAAAATTAATAAAATCGTTTCTAATCATTTCATATTTAGTTCCAGTTAAACACAAAAATACAATCTCAATTATCAAACTTATTAATTATTAAGAAAATAATTATGTTTATGGAATTCGTTGAATTAGTGAATTAAGAAATTAATCAAAAAAAGGAAAAAAAAAGAAAGTAATCTGAATTAAAATAGAAGAAGCAAATAGTGACAAGTTCACTTTCTAAAGATAATCTAGAATTGTGAACACTGGAAATTGAGTGAAATACTATAACAACGATCATCTTATGCTATTCGTAAAAGTTTTGTGATCTCTATGCACTGTCACAATTGGCTTTTGTTTTGCTTCTCATTATCAAATTTCTTTCCAAGAAGCAACATTCTGTTGTTTTTCCCACTTTTTTCTTTTTTTTTCGGACTTTTGTGAAATTGTGAAACAATTTTGTGATACCATTTGCCTGACAACATTATTCATCGTTAGTTGCAAAATTTTTAATTCCAACAAAGTTTTAAGAGTTGAAAATTTCTATTATTTAGGAAGTTTTTTGATGGAGTTGCAATATACTATTTGTAACATATCTTTTAAACATACTTTATATTAGTTATGTCATTTTTCTGAAGTACTGTTTCATTTTAAAATGGAAGTGTTGACTGGAATGAAACTTGAAGAATATATGAGCAATTATATATATATGAAGAAAAAAAAAATAGGAAATGTTGTCTTGAAATAGATAAAATTTAGGTTGGCGCTATACGTTGACGAAGCGAATGCAGTAAGATTCGATACTAAAATTTCATTTTTTTTTTTTGATTGCAAAATTTGCGCAAATATTTTTTTTTTGATTGCAAAATTTGCGCAAATATTTAGTTGTGTTTTCATTGTCGCATGCAATGTCCTCATTTAAACATATCTAAGATATTCTTTCAATTTTCTACGAATAAACCTCTTTTAATAAATTAATTGCTGAAATCTTAAGCTGTCGCCAGTTCTTTCGGAATTCTTGGGTTATCAAAATTGATAATCCTGCCGAAATATTATGACTACAGTACCACGTATTGGCCTTTAACCTATTAACTTAAACGATTATCATTTCTCCTTCTTTCTGTAATTCACAATTCATTTAACACTGATTGCTTTATGATCTGCATAAAGTAACACTGTAATAATGCCACGAATTTTATTTAATACTGAAATACACAAATATTTAATTGATGAATGACGCGACATGAATTAAAATGAGAGACGCCGCATGAATTAAATCCCAATCTATCGAGAAGATGCAGTAGCAGGCTGGAGCTAAAAATCAGTAAAGTTCAAAAGTTTAAGAACGAAATCCTAAAAATCCAATCAATTAAAACAATTGATCAAGAAACAAACCCGTACCAAAGTGTAAAATTGCGCATTAATCCAGTTGCAGTCAACATTTGGATTTCTGCGTGGCGATGGCGCATCTGTTATAGGCCATATATTCTGATCGTATAGACGACGTTCACTTTGCCACAATCCATAAGCGCAATTTTGCTCGAAACAAAAGCGCAACTCCTCATTATCTATACATTGAATATCTTGATGCATCTGAAATTTGATTTTTTTATAATTTATGAAAAGCTCCAAAATTTTTCAAAAAATTTAAATTATTTCTGTATAAGATGACAGTATTTCGAAAACTTTTTTCCGATCGTTTACTAAATTAGTGATGTAAATAATTTTATCAGTAAGTATTAATAATTTAAAATATTCCTTATTATTTTATTACATACCCGCATGAGTGTTTCATTACCACAATTGTATCGAATAACATTCAGCAAACTTTGCATATTCACATGTCCTTCACGACGAAAATAATACATCAAAGCGATACGTAGAACGTCACATTCCGAACGGACCGGTAAATTGTCACGTTTCAGTAACTCTTCCACAGCTGCTTGATCCAGTTGCGCAAATCGTAGATCCAAAACTGCCTCAAATGAAAAAGGAGGCAGAGAGATGGGACAAATAAATAACATTTCATGTGAAATAATCAATAATTCTTTCAAAATATAAGTATAACTTTTGGATTTGGCATACTTCTTCCAAAGAACGCATCACATAACTGAGCACAAAATCTTTTGCTCGAAGTGATAAGTCAAATTGTCGATGACAACTTATATTCCAACAATCCAATAAACAGTTATGATCAGCTGCTTTTTGAATGATAAATTTTTCAATTATTGCTCTCATTGATGGTACCTATTAAAATGAGCATTCAGTATTTTTCATATTTATGCAATTACAACGGATTTTAATTTCAAAACAAAACATTTAAATTCTTACTCCAATAACATTTTTTTTTTTGATAAAACGGACCTGAAGTTTACAGCACAAGGCTAGAAGTTCAGGAATTTCAGCCAATGAACATGGTAGGATACCACTGTAGAAGAAGTTAATCATACGACGAATAGCATTGGCATCGTAATTGGTGAGGTGATCGATGAACAATGTCACAGGTTTCTTTTGTGCTTTCATTTCCTTTAAATATTGTCGACGGAAATATCCGGAATGAGCTGTTGCTATTTCCGAATGAACCATTATTGTACTGTTATCACTAAGCTGAAAAAATAAACAAAGTTTAATTATATATATATATATATATATATATATATATTTACTATATATTTACTACTGGAAATTTTACTTTATGAAATTTATGATTAATTAACTCGTTAATTTCAATGCGTCTATCAGAATCACCAGAGATTTTTTCAGTTTATGATAAGATATTCCTTTATTTCTATTTCATTGAATTTAAGCATAGATCTACAATCAAATATTTGATAATAAATTTAATCTAAGTTATATTCATCAATCATAAGCGATTAGTATAATAAAAGTATTAATGATTAATTTCAAAAAAATAACTAAATTCCAAGTATATCAAATATTTTTTAAAAAAGTACTTTAATGGAAATATCCGTTTTTGGTTTCTCATTCGAAGATTGAATATAATCCAAATAATGCGATAGCTTAAAATAAAATTTCATCTAAATAAACTTTGAAAGTTTTTGCTATTCACATAAAAATAAAACAATTATTTTTCAATTATCAATAATAATTTTACATGAATAATTAATTGAAAAAGAAAAAAAAAACAATACCTTAGCTTGATGTGCAAGTAAGTGGAATCTATCTGGATTCCACGTTAATCGATATTGACTTTGTCGATGCATTTCTCAATTTTTGATTCTTCTCTTTTTTTTTTTTTTAATGAAAATATAATAAATGAATACTATCCTATAGGAATTTATTAGAGAGCTTCTTTTGAAAGAAATTAAGTATGAAATGAAAAGATATAAAATAAACACAGAATATTTTTCATAGAAACTTAATAGTGATTTGAAAAAAAAAAATTTTATCATAATTTCTTATCATGATTTCTAACTTTCAATTGCATTACTTTTTAAGAACGAAAAAGCAACCGTATAATGAAACAACCGTACACGATATTACATACACGTACAAGATATGCCGAATGAATAATTGTTTGTCAATTTAATAAAATTTTGAACTAGTCTTTAAATTTTTTTTACATACTTTTGCATAAGAGAGAAAAGAAAAACGAATTCAAATTTATATGAAAGTTGCAATTTTGATTTAAAATTTTTTATGCACAAATTAAAGATAATCATCATTTTTTGGAATTTTGTTTAATTTTTGCTATACATTTCATATTTTTTAAATCACTGGAATTAACTATTAGTTCGGAAAGCTCTAATATATTTTTCAAAAAAAAATATATATATATATAATAATTAAAAGTTATCAAAGATAGAATTAAATATTTTTAATAAGATTAAAAAATGTGAGATGATGAAGTGAACCATATAAAAAAACATATAAATATATAAAAAATATTGTTGTGCAAGGTAGCAAGTAATTTTTAATTCTTTTTAACTTTTATTACAGTTAACTTTATGCCAGATATTTAATCCAAAAAAGTATTGATGTAAACATAATTGTCAGATTGTTTAGTTCTGCTAAAGCCGTATTCAAATGGCAAAGGAAATGATATGTTTAAGCTTCAAATCATATCTTACATATTTTTTTACTCTTTCTCCGATGCCTAATGTGGAAAGAAAAAAAGGTTACTAATAAATAACTTTTTCATAAGATGTTTTATTAATAATACTTTTTAATGGTTCAAAGAGTTGAATGCAGTAACTTGTAATTTAGTAATGATTAATCTTTATGCCAGCATTAAATCACAATAAAGCAATTAAAAACTGTAAAAAATCGAATACAACTAACAAATTGTTAGATTTAAGCCGTAAATTCTGAAGTAAAAATTCATAATCACACAAAAATACGAGATGCAGTTTCGCACCTGGATATTTTGAATTATATTTAATTGATTTTGGAATATTTCGAAACAAATTCTAGCCATTAAAATAATTAATTTACAATACTTATATTTATTGAAATTTACCGCTGCATTTATATGGTACTTAAATTTGTATTCTCATTGCTAATAGATTTACTTCCAATTCGGGACTTTGTTGTACTCATAGATAATTCTAAAAAGTTTAAAATTTTGCGAAAAATCAATATTTGACTTGTTCATAATCATTATTTTAGTTTATCTTGACATTTGTTATTTTATGTGTAGCAACTGTTTGCTATTTGAGATGAAATTAACTGTATTCATAAATTTTAAACTGACTTCCATTTTACTATCCTTTCTAATTTAAAGTATAATTGAATTTTAGATAGAAAATTTAAAACTTCACAACAAGAAAGGAAATAAAAGAAATTAGCATAGATTAACTAACCTCCTATGGTCATTTTAGCTTTATCTTTCGCTTTACTTCGTTTCTTAGCCGTACGAATCCTTGATATACCAATGGCTAATTCCAATATTGTAACAATTGTAAGTATTACTATCACAATCACCATAATTATCAGTAACATCGGAAATCTAATTTTTTTTTTTCATTTAGAAAATCACCATAAATTTTTTTTTAAAGTGGTCAAAATCATTATAAAGTATTCATCACAAATTTCAAAACTTAATAAAGCCTACAACATTTATTTTTTTTTATGAAGGAAAAGAAAATTTATGCAAAACAATCAAATTTTTTTTTAAAATTAAATATTGTTACTAGTATGTCAGTATTAAAGTTCTTCCTCCTTTTTTTTTTTTTTTTTAAGATTAAATAATAAATAAATGTTCTTACTGGCCACATTGAAAGAATATCATATGCTGTAAATGTTTGAATGCAGCTGTTTTAATCACTTCCATATTATCATCTGGTACCAATTCACAATCCAAATTAATTCCCAATATATTACATTTATTTAAGCAATCATCTTGAGCATATAAATATCGTTGTTGTTGAAAGGATGCTTTTCGTAATAATTGTTGAAATATTTCTTCTGGTTCCAATACTTTAATTTTTACATTTTTTAGTAATTTATTTTGTTCACCACAGTATGCACCTGATTCTTCTTGCTGTAAATTATTGAATGAATTTCATTTATATATGCATATATTTATAAATTGATGTGACTTAACTGATAAATAAAACTTATTATCTTTTTCCTTCTCTCCCTCTCTGTCTCTGCTTCTCTCTCTCTTTTTTTTTAAAAACAGAAATTTTTGCATAAAATTGTTAAAATATTGATTAAGATTTGTTATTAACTGTAAAAATTGATGTTTTCAACGGATCATACAATAATGGATTGAGTCGCTGTTTAATGTGTGGTTTATGACGAAGTAATTTATTGAGGATTACAGCATTATTGTGGAAATGAATTGCTGAGATACTTTCACAATTATTTGATGCACACTAAAAATTAAATGAAATATTGAGAAAAAAAGAAATAACTTTGTTAGAAAAAAGGAAAATTAACAAAATAATTAAAAAATTTGCGAAAATAACTTATCAATAATTGTTTAGAAATTTGCATTTGGTAATATATTACAGCATATATTATAAATTTATAAAATTGTTAATGAAAATTTTTATTAATTGTAAAAACTTGGAATATATTGCATTTAAAAAAAATTTTTAGACTAAATTAAATTTTTTTTTTGAAATTTTTATAATTTGTAATGCTTTGCGTTATAATACCAATACTGTTTATTAGAAAAAAATGAATCTAGCAAGAATTGATATATTAATTTTTTGTATTTTCCTAATTACAAGTGCTGTAAAGTATATATTACTTAACAGAATTCTACAAAAATTTCAGCTTATGATGATGATTGCTGAAGTTAAGAAAAATTATCTTTCTGAATAACCTGAAACTTCTAAAATGATAAAAGTAATAATTTTGAATGATACAATAAACTACGATCGCAAATGAACGATTCCATTGTTTTTTTTTCCCTCAATTTTATTAGAAATGTTTAAAAATTTAGCTCAGTTTTTTAAAATATTTATGAAATAATGCAACAATAACCACCATCATCATATTCTAACCTTTTCATTTCTACAGGCTTTTAATGTTGTACAGATAGTATGATTCCTTGCATACACTATACAATTTTTCTAAAGCGATTAGTTTTTATTTCAGTTTATCTAACATTTACACATTATATGTTAATTATCATATCAGTAAACATATATTATTATGATGTCAGTGAAGTTATTATCATATCAGTAAACCTATTACAATATTAATGAATAGATAGTATCTTCCATTCAAACATCTATAATCTTATAGTATATATATCTATATATCGTATAGAAGCATATATCATCTTATCAAATACTCATAATAGCAGCGTACAACTCTGACATGAATTGAGACATTTGACACCTTCGTTTCGAACGAAGGTAACATGATAATAAATGATATCCAAAAATATTGCGATCTCATTTCCTAAGAACTATTTAATTCTCTTTCAATTGCTTACGCAACACCACTAATACTAGCGCATTCTTCGTTCAACCCATCTTTTTATATCTTCAAATTTTCAAAGTTTTAAAACTTTTTATGTAAATTTTAAGACTTAAGAAAGAATATTTTTAAACTTTTTGAAAATTTTAAAACTTTTAAGTACTCCGGAAATGTCACAAAAATTGTTGCAATTATTTCAAAAATAAATGAAAGAAAAAACTTTTATTTCTTGACTTGATATTGTGATAATAGAGAGATGTCAATGTTAATAACAAAATAAGAAAATATAAAAGTGTGTCAGAGTATGTCAAGGTATTTCTTGTTAACTGATAAAAGATAATCGTAAATTTAAATGAATAAATAAATGTTTAAGGGAATATTCAAAAGATTCACATCAAGAAATTTAAAATGAAATTCAGTATCATATGTTTCCACAGTTGCATTTACTGAGATTTTATTCTAAATTTTAACAAAAAGCATTCAATTGATCAGTTCTTCTAGATTCCGGCAAGTAATAAACAGGATCTGAATCATGTCATCCTAATAAAATGATCGGAAAATACATTAATAGCTGATTAATGATCGCACTTTAATTTCACAATTTCAGCAAATAAATAACCGAGTTTGCATCCTTCCATTAGATGGATGATTCCATTTGCTAATATTCCTAACTTCAAGAAACAACCAAATCCCTTAGATTTTAATCAGCCAAAAGCCAAACCTTTAACTGATAATTGAACTATGAAAAACAGGCATTTCTATGCTTTCACTGTCTTATTATCAATCTCTGTGCCCTCCTCGATTCCCACACGCCTTCCTCACCCTCTCCACCCCCCTCTCAATTATTAACACTTCCCCATTTCATCGTAAGATGCAATCAAACTTCAACAGCAATCCTTGCTGTTCCGAGAAATCAAAGAACTATTTTTTACTCTTTTTCCCTAACAGCAGTGTTATCTCGCTACTCTCTCATTGCCTCAATCTTCTAAGAGTAGCTTATTATTTCTGTTTGAAAATATAACAGTTAAATTGTAAAATTATTCAAGAAATGGATATTTGTAAATGGTTTTCATATTGGTGGAACCTAACATGTGGTACCTGAGCAACAGCCTAGCCTGAATTGTGGCATATTTCAGGTCATGAAAGACGAGTTAAATGAAGATATATGCAAGATTGGAGACGATGATAATGATGATATTGCTGGAGAAGTTAGTTTTTTTCCTTCTCTTTTCGATCTTTCGCTTTTTACTAGGATTTTTTTAGGCAGATTAGTAATGTTATCCAAATCAATAATGTCATATAACTAATCATATAACTAGAAGCTAGCTATTCATTTAGTAAACAATAACATTCCATGTTAAGCTTATCTGGCTTGTTCAAATCTTAGGTAAAGCTTCTCATTTTTCTTTTCGAATTTCGTATTATTTACCCCAAAGATTAATTTCTCATATTATTTTGGATTTACTGCGGAATTACATCTTGTTAGCACAAAAATAAAACGAAGAATTGAATGGATCATGGTGATGAGTGAATGATGATGATGTTATGCCAGAAATGCTTCATAAATTCATTTGCAATCTATTCTTCCATCTGATAATAATGTTATTATGGATTAGAGAGCATAGGATAGGCATATAGGGCTTTAGGTTCCTTCTTTACTTTTGCTACTAATTTTTAGGCCAATTTTAGCCTACTTAATATATGTAATAATGCAACTTGATTTATTTTGTATTTCAACTACCTTTAACTTTTTAAAGGCGTAGTCAGTTCATATATAATTCATAGCAGCCAACCATGAATAAATTATTTCTAACGACACTAGTAATGAAATGGCCGCTGCTCCATACACCGAATCCTATTTGAATTGGCGTTGATTTTATGACATTACCCAATATTGTTTTATGTCATTGAAACTTGCTTACAATTTTGTTCCTGTTACAGATAGATGTAATACTTTCTCGAAATCCTAGCAATAGCGAATTGTATCGTATTCAATACCCAATACGTAAAGTAAATCCATTTGGGTGCGGTATTGTCAAAGCACGTTACAAAAGGAATGTTAAAATGGTAATATTTTTACACGCCTTTATGTCAAAACTTGCCTGTTTCAGAATTTTATCAAGGATGCTGGTTAATTTGGTTAGCTATAATTTTAAGAAATATCAACAGTTTGTGATGCTTCCTCAATAAATGTTGAGTTGAAGTTTGGTTTATAATTTTCTTCCATATCGTTTACAGATGGAAATGAGATTGCCAGTGGATAAGTTGTCGAGCTCGTTCGATAAAGGTCGTGCGGAACATCTTGCATTGATTTCAGGAACAAGTTCAGGACCATCTGCGACTAACAATTTGTATGTAGCATTTTAGGGAAATTTTAATTCACTCCGTGAAGCTTAGCTTGTCGGTTTCTTTTTTTTTGTAACGACTTGCCCGGTCTTTCAGTTATGACCGAAGGAAAACATTTCTAGGGAATCAATCACTTCGAATATTTCTTTTTGTATTTCTTTTTTTTTTACTTCGTATTTCTTTTTGTATCTCTTTTTTTTTCTTTTTTTTACTTATTTCTTTTTCTAATTTAACTGGCACACTTCATAATTCTTCCTTTAAGTTTTATATAGCATCATTATGCAGCTTAACTTCCCGGAAATAGTTTATTGTACTTTCTATCTTCTTAAACTTCAAATTTTTGCAATTATGGATTTTACAAATTAATTGCTATTTTGACTAGGTTTCTTACCACTTCTACCTAATATTCTAGTCGATTAATGGATGAAGAAGTATATGTTGGACGTAGTTTTGGAAATGATGCACCAGTTCATTATGCTGTTGGCTTTTTTAAAAATCGTTAGTTCTATAAATTTTACTTAAATATAATTATTGACCTGAAAATTTATGCACATTTCAACATCTTTTATTAAATAACTATTTGAAATGCTTCTTCCAGGTCATTTTGATCATTTTGGTATGAGATAAACCTTCAAAACTATTATAGCTTGAAAGCATTTTTTGCAGAATGTTTGTATGTATGTCCTTTAACTGGTAGTTTTGATATGAAACGTTCGATAGCCTATCTGAATGGTCAAGGAAAAAACAGCATAGTTAGAACTTCTGAAGGCAAGAAATTTTTATTTTTCGTTCTTTAATTTGTAATAAAATTTCCTGCCTTATTTTACGAAATTGTGTCTCATGTCAATTTTTCTATTACACATAAAGTTACAATATAACTTATACATAATCATACAAATTTTTTCCAATTTCATGCAAATTTTCGCATTGCACATCTGCGATTTTTTTATGTTTCGTTTTGCTTTCATGTGTGATTAATATAACAATTTTTGAATTATCTTTAACTTCATTATCTGATATGGCATGTACTGTTTTGATGAAGAGTGACAAAGTTTATGCCATTGATTATCACGTGCATCTCAACATACGTTAAGGCGATACTACGAAGCTACTTTATATTTAACAAGTTATACATTTCGCCTCTAAATAAACATGTAATTAATCTAGAAATGTGATTTAAAAAGAAGGGTTTCAGATGACATGTCTGATTCGGGAGAGGAGGGAAGTTCTAAAAATCCATCACCAATTCGCGTCCGGTTCAAACGACCCGAAACAGAACGACAGAAGAAGCGTCGAGAACAATCGTCAGCTCATCGAAGTCGTCTTATTGAGCAAGATCCCTGGACTCCACTGAATATTAATTGCATGGCGGTTAATTTCTTTGTCATTTTTGGGTATATAACAAAATTTGTATTTTGAATATTGTCACCATGAATTGATACTCGATCTGTTTTTCTGTGCTTTCCTAGGAAACAACTATTCAGTAAATTCTTGACTTCTGGTATTACTTGAAGTGTAATTTTTTTTCGGATATTATTTTGTCGATATTTGTTTATCTCTCATTGTAAGATATTTAACTTACTGATTGATTTAATTCAGGATACAGAATCAATAAAATATAGCGAATCCTTACTTTCAATCCCAGTTACAATGCCTGATTCATGCAGAGTTCCTGATCCTATGCAGCTTGTTCAAGAAGCTATTATTGGTGAGAAAATGAACGCACTGTAAGTCTATTTTTTTCGGCTCTTCCGTATTAAAGCTATAGCATTTTCAAATATTTCGACAAATTGGTTTGAAATTCAGTGATTTGAATGACTGCAATCAGCTAATATCACTTCGACGTATACGACATTTGCCTGAGGTCCAGCAAGTTCGAGCCCTGATGATAAAAGGTTAGAAATCTCAATATCTTTAATACTAATAACTAATTACTTTGTGGGCTTTTTTACATCTCTACAAAAATTTAGTGCGGTGTATATCGACGAACGAAGCACAAGAGTATGTTTCGAAATGTATTCCTCGACACTTGCTGATATCGCGTGTCCGTGACTGTGCACACTTGGTGTGCAATGTTTGGGTACTGAAGAGTGAATTGCTTTATCCTGACGAGACATCAGTGCTTAAGCATGCCCGTGATCTTGTCCTGTGTTTATTTAGTTCTGATCTACCTGTTAGAAGGTGATTTTTTTTTTCTTTTAACTGAACGCCTCAATTAAAGTTTTTCATAAAAGTCCTTCATTTTAGGAACCGAGCAAAATCCCAATTATGAAAGTAAACTTAGATTAATTTGGAAAAATTGACATATTTACGTATGCTAAACAAGCTACAGTTCATGTTTTCTCCGGTCCATGATACAGCATGCTCAGAATTATTATGATTTTAGTCAGAAACTTCAATTTCTAAGATTAGAGGTCATATCTTTAGGTTGGATTTACAAATGGCATTCGGCTTAAGAACTTCTGATCTTGATGGTATCCTAAAAACATTAAATCGAGTAATGGTGGATGAACATGAACGAAGCTGGAAACTGAAACATGATGATGTAGAAGAATTTGGAAAAACGTATGGAATTGCAATTTTTTTAAATTAATTATAAAATATATTCATACATTTTTGCATCATTATGCGTATTCATAAATATTGTTGACGACTGATATGTCATGGAATTTCGATGTCCTAATACTAAAGAATCTTTTCCGAAAAGCCTATTGATTCATTGAATTTATTATATAATATTCCGCTACAATTTACACTTTTCTTTCTTATTTTCATTTTTGATTACTGATACCGTACAGACTATTATTGGTTCCTTTCTCTTTTGAGTGTTAATATTGCCGAACCTTCACAGAAAAGCAAATATGTAATTGCATTCCTGGATAGTAGCTTAGAAAGATTACTTTAAAACCATTTTTTGAAAGTTAAAACAAAATGTATTGTTTGCATCATTTAAACTACGAAGTTTTAATTTTCGAATTAAAATTAACCATTATAAATAAAATTAAGAGTTCATTATCTATTCTTCTGAAAATTGCAGCAAGGACGACTTAAAAGTGTTTATTGAAGAAAAACGCTACTGGCATAGACGTTGGGAAGAAATACATCGTTATTTAATGGCTAGGAAAGAAAAAGCAGGAAATATTATACGGCGGAAGAAACGAATTAATAGCAGGTTGGTACTTATTTAAAAATGTTAAGTTCAATGAATTTAGGTAGTATTGAGCTTGGAATTCTTTAGCGGCCTAAGAGATGAATATTTTTGCTTATTTAGGTTCTTACTTCTTTCTCAATTTTATTTATAATTGGAATTATTTGTTTGAAAAAAATTTTGTCTCATGTATAAAAAATCCACATTTTTTGTTGCTTTTTGTTTTAATTGCAAGTCGAAGTTAGCCTGTTATAAAAGTTTTCACACACACAGTGAAATGTAGAAATATTACCATAAAAAAAGAAGTGTAGGAAGATTATAATAAAGATTATCATTTTTTGCTATTCATTTTTCATTTTAATAATTTGGTTTCTTACTTAGACAGAATGGTTCAAGTGATAAAACCTTAAAGAAGCGAAATAATGTGAAAACAATTGTGATCGATTGAAAGAAATGGTTTAGTTTCATTGTTACGTATAGCCGATTTGTATATTTCATAATGTTGATAAAAATATTCCTCACAATTTGCTACTTTATCAGTATATTTATCATATGTTTAAGTGACTAAGAAAGGATTATATCCGCGATTCATTATGATTGAAATAATCGTTGAATAACATTCTCTCGACATCAAATTAAAGTAAAAAAGTGATGAGATATTTCGAAGTGATCATATAAAGAATATCTTTTGACCCAGACATTTTGCAAAAACTTTTAAGAAAGTGTATGATGAGATTTTGATTGATTTAAAAAAACTACACCTCAGAATTGATTAATCAGGAGATTTCCTATCTCAGTGTTAATGTTTTCTGGATAGATGCAATGCAAAATTTCCAGACATCCTTAACCCGAAGTTTCTCAGATTTTCCTTGCTGGAATTTAGAGATTAACTTTTCTACACCTACATGTGCTACGCAAAACAACTGCAATTAGTTTGGGGAACCTGAGATATGTACATTAATCCTTAATTTGCTCTCTTTTAGAAATGTCAAATAACTAATTTGGCACTATTGTGGAATCATTTTTGCTGGTATTTGATGTAAGAATTGTAAGCATTCAGCTGACTCACAATACAATGTGAGTTATGAATGGAGTGATGAACCATGAAATTGTCAAAAATTATCCATAAATCGATTTCGCATATTCAAAAGTAACAATACAAAAACTTCCGAAAGTTTGCAAAGTCAATTACAAGTGACGCATTTAAATTAATTTTGATTTGATACATTATCAATTTGTTTGCTTTAGCGAAGCCATGCATATGATTATTGTTGAAAACATAGGTAGTGAGCAAAACTTTTTGAAATAACTTGAGCATAATTGCAAATTGAGCTGGATTTTTATTGCCAAAAAATTGCTTTAGTACAAAGCAAATTTACAAAGAGTGAAAGCTAATTTCTCGTTTATTCAATTTAAATGAGTTAAAATTGATTTCAAATATTCGTGGGATGTTGCGACCTATCAATTTGAAACCGAAAAGTGAAAATCGAATGACCTTCCGTGATCAGTTATCACTCGACTTATTAATAAAGTGAATATATTGAATATCTCATAATCTCATAATGTATACATAGAATATATATATATAATTTATATTTGGACACCTCGAACTATAACGACATCACACTCTACGGTTCTGCAATAGACTCCCTCAGTAAGTAATGTATTGTCACCCAATGAAATTTTCATCTTTGATCAAGCATCATCTTTACACCATTATTTCACTGCTGCCTTAGCGGAAGAATCAATTGATAGCCATTTAGCTTCCTGCATAGTATGCCAGTTAAATGTAAATTGAAAGTTTATTACCTAACAAAAAGAAGATTAAAAACAAAACAAATGGAAGGCTATGGAATATCCGACCAATGCTAAACATCATATGGAGTCCAAAAGCGTATTCATCAGCTGTCAATTTAATAATAGAAAGACTAAAATGAAAAGGAAAAAGTATGAGAAATTAGGCAAATGAGACGGATTAAAAACTGTTTGAACCTTTGGTCTTTTAATTCCAACAATCTGAAATAAAAGCTTTTTTCCATTCGAATATTTCTGTCATTTCAAAAATTCATTATTTCACCTTGCTCTTCATTTCAATGATGCAACCTATTTGGTTCAGCGTTCTGCTTTGTATTGTTTTGGCTGAGAATGGAACTATCTCTCCGCTAAATCTCGACATCGATGACATTACATGGGATGACTGTAGCAATGGGTACTTCTCAACTAGTTTCAACATCCTTGATAATAGCAATTTGGAGTCGATCCTAGATTCAAGCATTGATGCTCATAAAAGGGAATCAGAAAATACTGGTAGAGAATTACCAGGAACATCTGCTAGGAATTTGGAGATTAGCATTTCATCTGATTTTTCGCACTTCGATTTCACTGATTTGTGGAAAAGTGAGCATAGAAGCAATGAGGATTCGAAAATCGAAACCGTTCCAATCACAACAGGAAATTACCAGTTGCAAGAATTATCGAGAACAGATGGCGAGAATATGCATAGCATTTCGCCCGACTCTTTGCAGTTCATAGGTAATACTCATTTCCGCAAAATTGAAGATACAAACAATGAGTAACCAGAAATAAAATCTCGTTACTGCGAAAAACTTAGAATTATTTGTTCTGCAAAATCTCACCATTACAGGTAACATTAAGCTTTTGCTTGTAATATATGCTCGCAATCAAATTACATTAATCAATTACCAGATAATATAGTGGAATGCATTATTTGCAAAAACAAATGTTATAGAAGAATTTTCAGATAAGAAAAATTATGAGTGTCCCCATGTCGGATGTACAATGAAAACAAAGAATCGCAAGGAATACATAACTCATAAGAAAACGCATCCCAAACCTTTTATTTATGAATGCAAAATGTTCGGTTGCGGACGAACATTCGATAATGCAGCATCATTGTGCACACACATGCAAAGACACCGACCTAAACTTCAGTGCAGAGACTGTGGCAAATTCTTTACTTATATGAATAATTTGTACACTCACAGGAAGAGTTGCGCGAAAGTTCCACGTTAGTTTCATAAATTTAACGAAATTTTAAACACTTGTTTACCTGAAGTGGAATACACAGCTGAGAAATATCCGTTGTATAGCATTACAAAAATAAATAGATACTTCGATATTTATCCAGTATCAACAGCAAAAACCTAGTCTGTTCAATATAAAAAACGAAACCAGTTAGTAGCAACTGCTGCTGTATGAATAATCCGATAGATTTACTGTAAACTTGTATGACAAAAATGGGAAAATAAGTGTTATAAGAGAATTTTTCAGATAAGAAAAATTATGAGTGTCCCCATGTCGGATGTACTATGGAAACGGAGAATTATAGTGAATACATAGCTCACAGAAGAACGCATCCCAAACCTTTTATTTATGAATGCAGAGTGCCCGGTTGTGGACGAACATTCAGTAATCCATCAACATTAGTCAATCACCAGGAAATACACGGGCCTAGATCTCATTGCGGAAACTGTGGCAAAATTTTCAACTATAGGAAGAATCTGAGCCCTCACAGGCAGTGCTGCACGAAAGCTTCATGTTAGTTTCACAAATTTAGCAGAATCTTAAATAGGTTTTTCTACCTGAAGTGAAATCCACATGAAAATGTTGAAAAACATCCACTGTATAGCGATACAAAATTCAATGGGCGATATTTATCCAACTCAACAAAGAGATACATCCCTTCTCGTTTATATTCAACATAAAAAAAAGATAAGCAGTACCTGCTGTTCAAGGAATGCAATTAATTCAAAGGTTATTTTCATATGAAGCGTTTTTGCTTTTACGTGAAATTGTGGATATAAACATTAAAAAATCAAGAAATGATGATCTCATTGCAGAAAATCTATAATTACATTTTTTTTTTTTGTTTAAATGCATAAAAAAACAAGTAAATATCATTATTTTTCAAATTGCGTTAATTAATTACAAATTGATATGATTGAATTATAAGAAGAAATGTTATAAAAGAATTCTTCAGATAAGGGAAATTATGAGTGTCCCTATGTCGGATGTACTATGAAAACAAAGAATTACAATGAATACATAGCTCACAAGAAAACACACCCCAAACCTTTTATTTATGAATGCAGAATGCCCGGTTGTGGGTTAACATTCAATCACCCATCTACATTTTACGGTCATCGGAAAACACATGGACCTAAATTTCAGTGCGGAAATTGTGGCAAAGTTTTCACCTTTAAGAATAATCTGTACACTCACAAGAAGTACTGCACGAAAGCTCTGCGTTAGTTACACAAATTTAGCAAAAATTTAAATACCTGTCAACCGGAAATGAGATGTGCGCAAAAATACGTTGCGAAACACTCGTGTCCGTGGTGTAGCAAAATAAAATCCTTTTGTGCGATGCACAAAGGATATATTATTAAGCATTTTATTGGTTGTTCCTACAGCAAACTGTTCAGTTCTTTTAACACGATGTAGTTACTACATCTGAAATATTCATTGTAGGAGTGCAAGAAGAGATACACAATCCCAGCATAAGTTCGGAGTAACACAGAAGGATACGTAGGAATCAGAAGATGCGCGGTACTGTCATCAATATGCTGCGGACAATTTTTTGATGACATTGTGATATTTATCTTTATCTTTTTTTAAATCTATATTTTTTTTAAATCCTCTTTCTTTAAAAACTTCACCAGTGATGATCAGTTATCGTGGAATTTCCAAAAGAGAATTCAGAAGAGTAAATTGCGGAATCAACCGTACATGATCAACAGAATCCTGTTGTAATTGAAAACTTACTTGTTTTATCCATAACGTTGCCATTGCTGTTTAAAACATTGTACAGTATAGCCGGTGTTTCGCAGAAGAACGCAATACCATCTGGTATAGGCGTAAAATTTACATCAGCGTTAACATCTCCCATCCAAACAGTGATCATATGTGCATAGTTCATCACTTGGCACGATACTACGCCAGGGTTGCAGTAAGCTATCATTAGTGCTTCAACAAATAGCATCTTTTGTAGTTTTAACTTTTATAGAGAAATATGATAAAATACAAACAAAATTTAAAAAAAAAAAATGATAGCCTGAATTAAGCGAAACAAACATGGGAAACACGCTGCAAGATCTTCTTCAACAATCCCAATGCTTGTTGCGATTGTGCTGAGAATTTGATCTAGGCAATCTCCTGCTTTAATCATCAACGTTCGCTCTTTTTCTCCTGCAAATACTAGATGTTCAAATTATACTCTTTGACTTAAAATAATTTCAAATGTAACAATTTTCCTTTTGTAAGTAATCGAAAGTCAAAATACTTACGAATATTAATGCTCCTTTCACACACACATAAATACTTTGTAATTATTATTAGAACTATTTGGCTAACCATATTCTGGCTCTTCTGGCTTCCATTTCCCCAAAAATCTTCTCGCAAGATGATTACTGTAACTTTCCATGAACAAACAAATCTGAAATGATACAAATTATCAAAGTGTTAATAAACCACTAAAATCCTCCCACCAAAAAAGAAAAAAACACCATTAAAAGTTATTTGTTGATTCGCTGCTAATCAATAAATCAAAAGGAAAAAGACAGAAAACGCTACAACGCTACCCGACGCCGAGGAATTCGATGATGCATATAAATAGCCAGAAAATTGATCAGTTCCTTTAGCTCTGTATACATATTCCTTCATGAAAACATTATCAGTTACTTGGAACAAACATTATTCTACGCAAATACTGTTAGTTACATTATCTTTGTAGATTAAAACACAAAAGTCATATTTCATATAATTTAGTTCGTTTCAATTAAATTTGTAACTGATAAAAGATCTCTAATGATTAGCAACTAAAAGTCTTTGAAGCCATCCTCCCATCCAAGATCTTTTTCTAACAGAAAAGTTAAAGAAATGTAGTCAATTCGCACAATTTAGCTTCAGTCAGCTTCAGCAGTTCATCCCACCAGAAAATAGTTCCTAATGCGAACCAACCAGTCAACGAGGAAGAATTAACTAACAATGAACGAGAAATGTAAAAATTTGCATACAATTTCAGTGCAATGCAAGTATGCCCCGATGAACTGAACCGAGTGGAAATATGCAAATTTATTTCACTACAAATAGTGGACTTAATAAAATTGAAACCTTTATCCTTCACTAATTGTTTTATCAATAACACATTAATTTGTTGCAAAATTTCAGTTTTCGCTTTATACTTAAAATCTTCGCTATGGAATTAATTTTGTTTACATAGAACAATTACAATTTTCATGCATTTTACTTTTTCTTAATAATATTGAAACATGAAATGGATATCAAATATCGTTCAATTGAAACTGCTCGAATTTCTTTGCGGAATTAATCTCTTAATAGAAGAGATTTTGAATTTAAATGAAAAACAAAGAAAAGAAATAATAATAGAAAACCAAATTATATTATGTCAAATAAATTTATATTAGATCCACAAGATTAAAGATTGTTTTATTTGAATATTCGTTAAATATAATAACATTTCAGTTTTATTTCAAGTAAGAAATTTAAAACTATCCAAAACTCATCTTCTAATTGTATTTGAATTTATTTGAAGTGCCTAGAATGTTACAGTTTGCTAACGATGAATAAGTGCAATGCTAATATGTTGATAATTATTTCTTATTTCAATCTGATAGCCAAACAAAGATTCCATTGTTTAATGGGATCAGAAAATTCTTTGTTCGTTTAAACTGTCAAGATAATAAACTTGAATTCAGCTAGTTTTACATTCTTATAGCTCTTTTCTCACCATCCCGACTTCAACAATTTTTGTCTTGTCTTATTTGCCGAATAAATTTATTTCCGAGTATTTTGGTGTTATTCCCACTTATTCTCAAGTATTTTGGTGCTAATCTATATTCCTGTCTTGACTATATTAGCGATACCACTACTCACTGTAACACTTCTCGACAAAGAAATCAACTTCAACAAATATTCGACGATACCAAACTAATGTTCTCCCAAAACAAAATAAAATTTCAAAATAACAGGATGAAATAATGGTATCATTATTACATGAAAAATAAGTTTTCCCATATGTAGTTTTCGAGATTCGAGCATTAGGGGTAAAGTGTACTTGGACAGTATGTAAAGGATATGACAGTACAGTGAAAGAAATGAACAATGAATAAATTTCAAAATTCCAAAATTTACATCCAATTCATCGACTCATTCTATAAGTTCAATTCACTTATCCATTTCTCTCTTTAGCTCTAACTCAGTTACTGTCAAATTTCGAATTAGATGAATAAATTCTAATGAACTATTTCTTCATGTTTATATGTTGATTAATGATTTCATAAATAACTGCAATGATTTATAACTTAATGCGCAAATATTCAATTTTCAACCTTAATAAAAATATTTATTCTCATAGCACGCAAAAATTTCTGATATAAAACAAGGCAGACAAGAAAACTAACATTTTAATCAAAGTGAAAACAGATTGAAACTAAGCACAGCTTTTTAGCTACCAAAAGAACTTATATCATTGCAAATTAAATGTTGAAGCTGAAACAAAGCAATGACTGTGAGATGAAATGAAACAAAAAAATATCAGAGATCCATTTGGAAGTAAGAAAACTCAAAATTTTGTACAAATGATATGGCAACAACCATAATTTTCATCTCCTGCAAAAGTGGTATAAGTATATAAGGATATATAAATATAAAGGGTAGGAATTGGCTCATCTGTATAAGCAGTATCAGTGATACGGTATTCGTTCTACCTCAGCATCGTAACATATTGATGTCATGTGACTTGATACTGTCAACATTCATATTTCTTACGTCATCAGCAAATTTTTTGAATTCACGAACAGCCACAACGAATTCAGGTCGAGAGATGGCATTGAAAATATGCTGGACAAATCGAGCAAAAATACTGTCGCATCTCTGCAAAGGATTGCTAAATAAATGTGTGAATATATGAAAGATGAAGAAGGTGGGAAACATGTTACCAATGCTCAGAACACGACGATAGATTCGTACTGTCACAAATTGGGTTAAATATTAATTTTTACCCATACCTTTAGTTTTTCCTCTCTAATAGCTGTGATCGCACGATGAATACCAGGTGGTCGAACCTGTTTCACTTCATCAATTGAAATATCGGTGGGTAAATTGCCTTGAAGCAGTATTTCTGGTGGCTGCAGAAGCACTATCATAACGTCTCTTAGTTGCACATTCGACCATTCCGAGAGATAAAAATCAGCGCCATATACTCCACAGATGAACGGTAAGTATACTTCCTGCGGTAGACATCCTCCACATTTGATGATGTAAGCTAAATCGGATTCTTATTAAAAATAGTTCAAGTATTTTTTATCTAATGAAATTTCACAGAACAGATTTCTATGTGGAGCAAAAATTTGCAATCCAAATCGTAAATTTTTTTGCGTAGCTCCAATATTGCCTGTCAATACAAACTTCAATTAGTTGAGCGCTTAAGTTTATCGAAAGAGATTCATGCCTACGGCTTGGAAGACGAACCGTTCATAATTAAATATTCTATTCTCTGCAACCGATCCACTAAGCGATTTGCGAATATTTGCTTCCGGACGGAATCTGTTGGAAGCAAATTCTTCAATGACATTTGTTGTATTCCATCAACGTGTTCTGTTATCTGAAAATGTCAATTTTACTTTTATGTTCTTCTATCCTTCATAAACTTTTTTTGATATAAACTTGTTGTTATTGCTTACTTCTGCGGAACGAGTAACCGGAACAAAAGCAGAGTTTTCTTGGGATGAAATAATGGCGCCATAGTTTCTTTCTAATAAAGTGGTGGAAGTGGGATTTTCTGCGGGTGAAATAACGGATGCAGAATTATCTTCCGCAACATCGGAAACATTTGCACGCTCAGTTAGTTGTGGTGATTTGCTTTTCGACTTTGTTTCTCCTAAAATAGCTTTGTTCCTCCTATTACCGTATCGTTTGTTGACATATAACAGAGAAAAGTAATAGAAGTTACCTGTTTCTCTCACTTTTTTTTCCTTCATTTTCTTCGATGCAATACCACCTGAAATTTCTATAACTAATAATCATTTCTATATTGAAAATAAAGTGAAGGATAGACGTAGTTGGGAATCTATTAACTGACCAGTTAGATTTCGTCTCTTCTTGTTTATAATACGCAAATAATCCTCCTCAGTGCTTGCATGATTAGTGTGCTCTTCGTGGAAAGATGAAATTCGAAGACAACCGTTGGTCGTGTCAGCATTCAAACGAAATCTGGCTTTGCAACCCAGTGGAAGATAATTTTGATTTGGACGTTCACCTCTTCCTGAAGGAATGCAACAGTGAAATTTTTGCTTGGTTCATTAAGACAAGTTTTAAAAGTGCCCAATATTTATAGCAAAATATTTGTGGTGAGTGTAGCATGAGGCTTCTGATTTAAAATGGCAAATGTGAAAGAGAGAAATTTGCATCGTAGTTTAATTAATTCATTGACAAAAGCTTGTGGAAGTCACCCTGAAATAATAGCAGACACTGAGTTTTTTGGTCTCTCTTGATGAAGTCATTTTTCTTTCTGTGATATTTAATTTAAAGGCATTTAACATTTTCTTGTGAATAAATAGTTTTTTACTGATTTGATGCCACTATTAAAAATAAGTCTGTCTTTCGCAGTTCATATAAATAGTTCATTTTGATATGCCTAAGTATGCATCGACACGTTTGAATTTTGTGAGTGATGGAGAAGGATATGATTCTATTTATGAAACTAATTAATTGTATACCAAATAAGATGTTTAATTTTATGACTGCCAACCGCTGATTTCTCTGAAAATGCTGTGACAGTGGGTGACAGCTTGGCTTGGACCTGATTGACATTAGTGGCTTACTTCCAGCATTTGTTATGTTAGATTTATTTTTTTTTTTTTCAATAAAAGATGTGTGTTATCGATCTGATTGTCATTTATTCATTATTTTGTACTTCAAAAGACTGACTGGTTGGATCCCCTGAAATTACCATCCCAATATCGCCAGTCTTCATAATATTAAGACAGCAGCTGGCGAACATAATTTCTATTATTTGGGAGAGCGCTGCTTGTAATGCCCATGATTTAATGCTTTAAAATGGTCAAAATGGACAACCGCAATGTAAAAAAAAGAAGGAAGCAATAATTATCGACTTCATTATTTACTGTTTCCTTTGCCTAAATCTGTAAAAAATGTAAAAATCCCTAAAAACTTTCGTCGTAAATTTTGGTTTTCACCTCACAGCGGTTTAAAATTGGAACGAACTCCCAATAAAACATTAAATTATTCATTGTTTCATATTCTAAAGTGTTTGATACTAAATAAAAAAAAAAACTGACTCCTGTTTTTCAACTATAATTTATATTAAAATTTAACACAGTAAGTAACATCATCGGTAATAACTCTTCCAAATGGAATTTATTTAGCATCCATCCTGCTGTC